CCAGGTAGTGAGTCTTCTTAGCAGAGACCTTTTGGAGAACAGATGTTTGCCAGTTATAGGTGTGTTGTCATTTTATGGAGGGATGTCACGCTGAGATATGTGTCCACTAGCTTACAGTACCTTCATGATATTGAAGAATGTCTCAATGGCCTCTGTGTCATCGGGGAATTGCTTCATCAGATGGGCTTTCATCTCCGTTTTACCCGAGAAGATAGTGTACTCCCGTTTTTCCTCTCCTTGGCCTATCATGATCGTGTCAAAGTGTTGATTTAGCTTGTGGAACTCCAACTGGCCCTCAGAGATTTGATCGAAGGCGATGCGCAACAGACTGTTCTCGTGGACCTGACCAATGTAGTGAAGCCCTGAAGAAGGAAAGAGCGGGAAACAGGAACACAGTGCATAGTTATTTAAGTTACACCAGGGAGATAATCAACATCCATTCTTGTTGTTGCCTTCAAAGTGGTTTAGTGGATTTAATGGAACAATCATAAACATTTTACCTACTGTAGCTCAACAAATGACACCTTGAAAACCCACTTAGCTGCTGCGAGGTGCTGCTAGATATTCCAGGCCTCTTAAAAAAATCCAATGCCCTAAAACAGTGAATATATATTATCCCTGGCATGTCCTCTTACCAACATCAAACTCGAAGCCTTTCTCTACGTAGGTGTGGCAGCAGCCTCCAGCCTGGTCGTGTTGTTCCAGCAGCAGGACTCTCCTCCCTGCTTTGGCCAGTGTCGCTGCAGCTGTCAGACCACCGATACCGCTCCCAATGACAATCACATCCAGGTTCTGGGGCACTTTGTCAAGGCTGAAACCTGGACAGAAACAGACGTAGATGATGTTATCATGGTAACATTTACATGTCTAGAAAAGATAAAGATTAATTGAAAATGTAATATAACCTGCTCAAATGTGTTGCTTAATAGTCTGAAGGTTGCTTTGCACACCTTTCATCTCATAAATACATGGCTGCTGATCTAGTTCCTGTATATGTGTTATCCTCTTGGCAATTACACATTAGATAAGACTGCAAACACAATCTCTTGGTGCATTATCTAATTAAGATAAAGCCAACAGATGAAAAACAATAAGTGTACTTTTGTACTAATTTAGGTCTAATCTAAACTCTGAGTTATGACCAGGAAAACAGGTCATTTAGATGATATGTATCAGCAAACCTCAGCAGTTCTACGAACTTTAGTAAACTGATAGTGTCAAATATTTGTTCTACTTACTTTTGACTATTTCTAGTTGCAGACCTTTTAATGCTTAATCCAACCCAATTTTATAACTTAACTTAATACAATTATTTAGAATTTTCCTTGGAATATTACCTCCCTCATCACACCATTTATTTTACTTACAATGTCTCTTATACCCCGTTGTAAATATTAAAGATGAATGAAAAAGAAAATCACACCCTAGTTTAAGTTAAAGAAGTAAACCAGATTCATTTGAGAATGCATCTTTTTTTTCTACATAATGCCATCTGTTGACATTCAGAGTTGTGCCCAGGAACATGTAAGCTATTATTATGGAAGGGCTTTACAACAGCAACAATAAAACAATTGTTCTTCCTCCAAAAGCACAGCACAGCTGCAAAGGACAAATGGGCATCTGCTTGGGCAACTTCTGCCCAACCTTGTGCATGTCCCTTGGTTTGAACAATTCCATCTCAGTCATTTTCTTTTTGTTGTTGTTAACATTGCAAAGTGGGATACCTTTTATTACACATGTTCGCTGATTGAAATGTTTGCAGTGAATAAAGGTCTATTATTTGATGATCGCTGTCACAGCAGAGGTTGATAACAAAGAAAATCCATGACAAATTAACTGGTTTCATAAACGTCTTAAATCTCACTAAATCAATCTAAATAAACATATTGCATATTAATTATTAATTCAGTTATTTTAATGGTTATTTTATTTTAATTAGATGAAAGTGAAGGTTAATAATTGACTCTCTTTTTTCCTTTTTTTGTAGATGCTGGCCAGGGAGGTCCATTTTCTGCTGTAAGAATATATATTCTAAGTGGATCATATTGTGTTATACCCAATGGAATAAATTGAAATATTATTTTACAAATGGTAATTTTCATTCTTAGTCTGCATTATTTGTTGTAGTTTTTTGTCAAGTCATTTTACATGTCGACTGTTTTGAATCTTGTTTAAATGTGTGCCGACAGATCTAAATCAGACTTAACGGTTAGAAGATACACTTCTTCATGAAAGCATGCCCTCACATTTCCAATGAGCATTTTCAACTGCAATCATTTTACCTTGCTTGATGACTTTGTCCCGCTTCTTCTGATCAAACTCTCGAGGTCCAGGGGGTCTCACGGACTCCAGGGAGAAAGGGCTCTTTTTCCCAAACAGGTACCAGTACGTGCCACCGGCCCATATAACCAACCACGCTAAGAAGATCAAGAGCCACATCATGGAGACAATCGGATCACAGTGTCTGGTAAGAGTGTCCACAGCAGCAGTGACAGGTGTTTTCTGAGCACTGCACTCCTCATCAGGCTGTTTTTATAACACTGACTGCCAAAGGTCTGGACTAGACAAGTGGGAACTTGACATGATTATCAGAGGTGTTATGACAACCACTAAAGATAAGGCTAAGTGACTAATTTTTGTCATGACTGTGCACAAATAAAAAATAATGGTGTGCCAGAAAAGTGCTTCTTTCGAGACCAAAACAAAAGAGGCAAACTATGATGTGATAGCCACAGCCACACATGGTCACACCTGCATTTCAGGTGCAGCCAACTACCCAAACAATTAACAACACACAGTTGGCTTCAATGGTGAACTGGTTATTTGCTTTTACTGTGACCTGACAGTGTTTAGTTCAGGTGAACACATTTTGGATCGGTTAACAGAGGTATTTGTTTGTATTATACATTTTCTTTGTCTTTGAGTTACCGTGGTTGTTGGGTGAGGTTTCTTCCTGGTGGCCCAAAGGCTGAGGACTCCTAAATCCTGGAAATGGTTCATTGGGCCAAACCATGTGCTTCCATGTCAACAGTGGGATTTGGGCTTTGTCAGTTTTCTTTTCATGGCCTATTCATCGTAGTGACCCCTTGTTTGCTATTCGGTTTGGACAAGCCACTATATATGTTCCCACTTGTTTGATTGCGACAGGTCGGTGTGTTTAGTTTAGTTAACATCAATTTAACTGCTGGTATATTGATAGTTATATTCAAATTACCTGTTTATAGGCCTAGTTATTTCGATTTGAAACACTTCCTGTTTCCTTGTCGCTCACTGCTTGGTCCCTGACATAAAGGACACTACCAAAAGAAGTTTGTGAGTTTTCCGTTCCTCCATTAATAATTTTTCTTGGAATCGATTCAGACATTGTTCTTCTCCATGGTAGGTCACTCTCAACACAAATGAATAGATGCATTGTTCTTGTCAGTGTCACACGTTGTGTTCAAGTAAACAAATAGTCCGTTCAGATGTCTTGAATTCACAAAGTTATGACACTTCTGATCTGAAGGTTACAACATGTTTTTCTTTCTCCCAGTATGGTTATTCCACAGAGATTATAGGACATTTGCGAAGATTAGATATGTCCATAATTGCTCTTATCTGATAAAACAATTAAGATAAAAACCACTCCATGGACAAGTCATCCTAGACTTTACACATGCGGTGTCGAAATGTATGTATTTACAACAGTGCAGATTAAAATATCTGAGTTGTATAATTTTGTGTCCCATAATTACAGTGCTAGTGTCCTTGAGCAGACCATTGAGAAATTGCAATGTGAAAATCAACAGAATAACACTTGATTATCATTTTTCTTTTTACAAAAAGTATATATTACTTAATGATAAAATGGGTAACCTTTTAAAACAGCTTTCCTTTTGAAAATATGTTTACAAATGAACCATGTTACCGCTCTTTAGCTCTAATTTCTGTCTCTAGTATCTAAAAGACATGAAAGGGGATTCAAATATATTTTAATAATTAATTATATTTGTATTCATATTTAAAATGTAATTACATAAATTACATATTTGAAATGAGATAACCTACACAGATGACAACATACTGATATCTCACAAACACGCACCCCTAAGGGTTTATGATTACGGTAATACTTGGATACTCACTATCTATACTTGTAGATACTCAACAATTGAGCTTAATATTTCTGTTTAACATTAAATTAAAGTACACCAAATACATAAAACATATATATGTTGGTTTCTGAAAATGGAACGGCAATAAACTTATCTTAAAATACTGAAATGTAAACTCTAAACCATTCACATACATTTAGGCTATTCTATTTGATATTTTTGTTATACCTAATAGCCATATTTATTTCACTGTGTGCTGTGTGCTCTGCATGTGTGACCATTAAAGAGGGTTTCATCCCTCCGATTCTATCTATCATTTGATTTAAAAAAGTGTTAATGCAGCATTGTGAATTGTGTTTTTAAATGTATTATAGTGTTAGGAATAAAGCCTGCACCTACAAATGAAATCATACCCAAGACGTTATGTGTATTTGTTGGTGAGCAGATTGAACATGACACTAATTGGATGCAGGGCTCCAAATGGGAGCAGGGATGAAGCCGCTGGAACAAGCTTAAAGACTTTGATACCGGAAGCAGCTCTGTGTCAGTGTGAACGAGAAATCCTATTAAGAATTAGACTAAGCAGTAAGTGCGCAGCTCCTGTGACTTTGCCCTGCTTTTCACAGTTACACAGCTGAGTGTCATGTTCTGCACATTTACACACCAACCAATATAGCAATATATATTATATATAATCCAGCCAATTTAACATTAGCAGTGTAATACAAGTAGATGAAAGTGCAGTAGTAGTATAATAAAAGTGAGCTTTGCTTATATTCAACGATAATAAGAGCAGTCAAGTCAGGTCAAAGCTTTGTACAGCTATTTGCATTTAATTACAAATTGACAAAGAAACATTTTCCTATCAACAGGTACATACAGTAATCCGGTGATGGAAAAGGGTCTCTCTCCTGGTAGCAATACCATTACAGATCTTAGTTTTCTTTTACATTTCTACAGGGATATTACAGCAATGCAACCGGTTCTCATAAAAAACTGTTTGACGTTTCCTTGCATGTCCATGTGCTATGTTATTATACAGCCTCCCTTGTCTCCCTTGTAGGGGTTCTTGTCATCTGGAACGCCCTTTATCAGCGGATCATTAGGCAGGAGTTGCTCAACGAATGTAACAGTCTCCGCACAGTTAGCAAGCAGCTGTTGTTGGGAAGAAAGATGGAGACACATTTAAGGTTGACAAAGCAAATATCACCTTTTCAGACGTAAAGATGGAACATTAAACTTGCATGCTACAAATCATTGAAACTGTTCATCCCTTGTTCATTGCTTCAATTCAAAGAGGCTTAAAATTGAAATAATACTGAAAAGATTGCTCACAATTGATGGCAAGACATTATTTTGAAAGAGGTCGTTTACTCACTGGTGTCCTAGTTGTGCTAACTTCCTTCTTCAACTGATCCAACTCCATTTTTAAGATTTCCTTATCCGACATATCCCGAGCCATCCTGACTGTAAGAGGAAATCAAGACAAAAACTTTAAAAGTGTCACAAAAAATACCTACAAATCTGCTTTCATGATGGAAAACAAACAACATTACAATCAGCAATCTTTACCTGTTGAATGGTGGGATCCCCAAAGTAACGAGAAATGTTTTGGCTCCTAAGAGCTCATTGACTGTTTGCCTTGCTGTAGTCCGGTTGCTTCTTCACACTGAATGGTCTGTGCTGTCCCACTGCTCTTCATCCCAGCTGATCCCTGCTGCTGGCTTTGGGTTGAGGTCGGCAGCGGATTGGACCTGATGGCACCAATCCCCCGTGATGAGATTAAACAATCAGGAGCCGTAACCTCTGAACAGGAAGGAGGAAGGTAAGAGATTCTTCTAGATCTTCAGATGAGGTGGAGAAAGTGAGGCCCTGAATGGACATGTAAACATCACATCATATTTGTCTGTAGCTGTTGAAAACATACCAAAGTCTGTACACTTCAAGCCTATAAGACACTGGCTTCACATTACTTTTCATTTTCATGTCAATACATTAAACCAGTGGTGGAGGAAGTATTCAGATGTCAAATTGCTAAAACATTGTGAAAAGGACTCTACAAGTATAAGTCCTGCATTCAACACTTACTTTAGCAAAACTGTAAGTATTTACAGCAAATTATACTACTTTTGGATATGACTGCTGCATTAATGTGAATGAATATTGTACTGATTCTCATTCATTTGAACTCTTATACTGTTTTAGGTATAGCAATGCATCCTTTTCTTTAAGATCATCGTACGTTTGTTTCGTAGCTGTCCTGTGAGAAGCATGTATCTCTTTAAAGTAAACTTTTCATAAACTGCCTTTTTTATCTTGAGCATTGCGTTCCCAGCTCATTCAAGCTGGTTTTTAAATAGTTATTACCTTAAGAAGTAGGATCAAAATACAAATCAAAAATTGGATGAAGTTGGTTTTCTTTGGACAGGGAGGGGATGTTAAACTCTAATCTGAAAGTTTCCCTTTGAGTAGTAGTGAAGTTAGAGCATGAAGTTTAGCATGTAAATGTTAAACAATACATAGGAATTACCTCCGAGATGAAATGAAGTTATTTATTAGAGTTGATGTATTAAGTACCATTCCATACCTTCATTTAACATTGCCATAACAGAGGTTAGTGTTTGCATCATCGTGTGTTTATACATCATTAGCATAGTGGTGTGTGCCAAGTGGAAGGAGGCCAAGACCTCACCACTTATTTAATTATAGTTAGTCAGTCTATCCAATCAGTTCCTCTTAGACTTGCCACGTCATTCTGCTTCAGCAACTTCCAGTGCAAAACTGACAACGATGTTATTCAAGGTTCATGGTTCTTTATGTAGTCATACGAACAGAGCTACAGTGTAGTTATGCCGATGAAGATCTTAGGTCCCAGGCTTCTCCAACAGAGCAACACAGAACACAGATAAACAGATAAATATAGTAAATAGTAAATACAAAAAGAAAAATAGTTTAAAAAAGTGAAATAGTGCAATAAGAGTCTATAAGCAAGTTATTGAAATATGATATATTAGGTAAATAGATCAATCATTTCTAATAGCAGCCAGATGAATATTATGGATGTTGTTTCAACAATTCAGGTGAATATTGTGCATAAATAGATTTTTGCTCAAGGTGTCTTTACAAACACTAAGTTGGTCCTGTTCAAAACCAGGGCGTGAACAAAACAACAACTCCATATAGACACAATGAATTGTAGTAAATTAGATATGTACTTTATATCTATGTTTTTAGCAAGGAGCTCCATTGGTGGATAATACGGTCTTTATAGTTGTTTAGCCTCTGTTTGTAGTGTAGTTTTTGTGCCGGTTAGCAGCTGTTTGGCATCTCTTTGTAGTTCCTTTTGTCTCTGTAGTATGTTTGTGTCTCTCATCTGTGGTCATTTTAACTTTAGTATGCCCATTCAGTAATCCATGCTGGGCTAAGGCTTTTTTCAGTTTCTTGTGATAGTTTGTGGGCAGTTTGTTAGTTCAAACCTACTGGTCTTTGTGGTTCTTTAAAATCCCTTAGATAAACGGGAGTGTGATTAGTTGTCTTTCTGTATGTTAGCGCGCGCAACCCCACCTTTTACCCAATGTTAGCAGAAACAAAGACTTTTTGACCTGTAAAAAGGTCTGACGGCATCAACATTTATTGCGGATATTACATTTTCCTAAAGCTAAAGGAAAAGGTTTTATGAAAATATTCTTGCCCTGTAAAGCTCGTCCCACTATTTTGTCCTACTCACCTACAACTGACATTTTATCTGAGACATGACAGGCTACTGATCCTTAACTAAACCTTCAGCAGGACTCACACTAAGCCATTTTCAGGATGTAGGTTAGTCTCATCTACTAAAGATTAACCTGAGACACGTCACAGGGATCAGCAGCAGTGCGTTCACTTTGAAGGCCTGGTTGGTCACTGGTCACCTGATGAGAAACTGCCCTCCCCATTTGACTGTCCTATTTTAGTTTCATCCTTTGGGTCACTGTTATTGTCAAACTGACTGGAATCATGATTTCTCCTTTACCCTGTTAAGTGTGGGGTTGTCTTTTGAGAGATTTTAGTATAGTTGCTACACTAGTTATCAATCAAACCATAGACAGAAAATGTATCAACAATCATTTTGATAGCTGCCTGGTTAATTGTTCAAGTCATTTTCCTCAAGCAAAAATGCCTTATCGTTCTCTGGTTCCAACATCTAAATGTTAATTAAAAAAATGTACCTCTGTTTTATGTCATTGTAAAAAAAAAGGACAAAGGAAGTAACATGAAGATGTTTCCATATCTGCCATTATAAATATTGCAAAGTTCTTGGCAGTGTTTAGAGACCATACTGTGTTATTTCGTGCAAATACCATTAACATTATTACCCATTGCAATGCATTTATTTGATGATGTAGTGGGGGCTTTTTAAATGTTTTTTCTAACATGAATATTTGCCTTGTTTTTAATTTTTGATTAGCATGCTTTTAAATAGTATTATTATATTTGTTGATGTTGTATTTGTCTTTGTCTTTAGGATCGGGTTGTAACATCTGCATATCGACTACAGATAGAAAGCTCCTCTTGGTTAACTCTGGCATTCCTATTGAGAGAAATACTTTTAAATGAACATTCGCAAAGGGCATTTCAGCAGAATACATGGTAGAAATAAGTAACAAGGTTAAGAGGTAGGCCAGTTTTCCTCCAATGACCTTTAGATCTCAGTGATGATCTACTTTCTCCTGGATGGTGGTATCAAATCTATTTCTGTTTATCCTGCTTCAATGAGCAAGTCTGTCCCGCCCACCTTGTTCTATCAGCCAATAGGAGGGCAACATTGCGGTAGGATTTAAAGTATTTTCAAAATAAGATCATCCGTGTTGGAAATAACTCCACGTTTATATTCTGTATTGAATGTACAGGACGCGTACTTTTATTTCGACACGTGTGTGTTTTTTTGGCCGGAAGTCCTTTGAATAGTCGCAGTGTCGTTGGCGGATAGATTGCATCAACAATGGCAGCTCCCAGTAGGAAGCAGACTTTAAGGTTTCTCAGCCAGTTGGGAGCATTTATTTTGACCCGGTTCGGGTTTTGGAACTGCTTCACCATGTTGATGTTGTTTGCTGAACGAGCGGACTCAAAAAGGTAAACAGGTTTGGAGAATATAGCGCTAGAAACGAGCTAGCAAGCTAGCTAACGGCAGTCTAACGCTGCGTTTATCAGCCTTGATTATCAAGATGTTTCTCGAAGCATTATATAGTTTGACAGATATTATTACTGTACAATATGCGTGCTAGTCTAACTTTAATATATGCTATGTTCAAAGTTCCAGCTAGCTTCATGTTAGCCAATTTAGCTGGGGTCTATTTTAGCAAAAACCTCAGACGTAAGTTTCCGCCATATGGAGTTGTTTAAATTAAAAAGACAAGTTATATTTAGCCTTGTCTGTAATTTCCAGTCGGAAGGATAAAAGGCTGTAATTTATCCTGGTAGTAATGGTGGTTTTAATCCTAAATACACTGGGCGTGTATTGTTTCAGTCTGTGGTGGGTTGGTTTGACTTGGACCACCACACCCCTCTGAATTGTCCTGTAATTATATCAACCTTTTTTACCTGTCTGCCTCTCTTTGGGGGATATTATTCCATTCTATTACTTTGTTTGTACATATATACCATGACTTTGTTGACACACTACTTTGACTTTTGTAGTACTATACTATACATTTAATTGACACATTACTATACGTTTTATGACATATGATACTATGATGTTTTAATAAATGTTTAATTACCTACTATACTATCGTTATTTGATAAATATTGAATTACATACAATTTAATTACATGTTTTAACATTCTATACTATGGCTTTCTTTTTTTTAACATACTATATTATGACTTGTTATTAAATGTTTTAGATACATGTTTAATGACATCCTAAGATGTTTCTATGGAATACCTTTACCATGACATACTATTATCATTTTTACTAGAATATTTAAAGAGATTCTATAATATGCATTCTTTTTTTAATATGATGGATACTTCATTGACCTCAAAATTGTGAAATTCTTGGGAAAATCTATAAACACAGCGCGCTCCTGCAACAAGCTGCCAACTAGCACGGTGCCAACAGGGATCAAAATATATATATATATATACTTAGACTTGTTTTTACTGTACTTTTAAAGTTTTTTTGCATCCATTGTCCTCTCCAGGAAGCCAGACATCCCTGTCCCCTACCTGTACGTGGACATGGGGGCTGCGGTGCTGTGTGCCAGCTTCATGTCCTTCGGGGTGAAGAGGAGGTGGTTTGCAGTGGGCGCCGCCATACAACTGGCCGTCAGCACGTACGCATCGTATGTTGGAGAACAAGTGCACTACGGGGACTGGCTTAAGGTGAGTTAGCTTCTGTGGTTTGGAGTCACAAAGCTAATGTGCAGTAACGCACAGGTATTATTATACACCAGTTATATCAAATATAAAAATGCAACTCGTGCATCAAGTGTACACAGTCTTTGCCAGACTCCCTGTGTATTCCCATTTTGATTCAGTATCCCTGCTTTCTAATGTCAGTTATGGTATACATTATTTAGTTTTTTTGGTAAAACTCTTAATGTTGATTTAATGTGTATTTTGTTCTATTTTTAAAAACAACAATGCTGCTGTGACAACAATGTCCAAACCTGGCTTAAATTGCATCTTTGAATGAACCTTTCATACTAGAGATGTTAAGATTCACCGATTCGCATCGGTGCACCGGCATAAACGTTCAAGATGCGAGTGCACCGGTTGAAAGAGTGCACATCGGCTACAGTTTGGGTTGAACCGGGTTGAACTCGCGATGCATCGATTGCGTAGCGTCTTTGCATCGGTAAAAAACCATTCATATAAAAAAACCATTCATATAAAATCCCCTAATCTTGTCAACGCTCAGCAGATACGATCTTTGATATCTTCGCCACTACGGAGGCCGAGAGTCTCAGTTATCAACACACACGGAAGTCGAGGAGAAAGAGAAACACAGCGCACCGAAAAATACCTACAAATCAAACGTTTGGCAACACTTCGGATTGTTCAAGAAAGACGGTGTAATAGTCCTTTATGCTATATAGTTGACCGCAGGTCATGGAGAGTAATAAGGTATCCGTAGACCTTTGTATGAGGTATCTTTATTACTTAACAGGTCTATAGCCATGATACATAGATCCGTCCTAGATGCGGGCTTGCATACACACAGTATCACTCCGCAGCCGCACCCCATCAGTAACGTCCTGATGGTATATGTGCGCGGCACTATATACTACAGACGGTCAACTTGAAAAATCGCTCGCAAATTGTTAACGATGCCGAGCCGATTTAAAGTACACAAGTAGTACGAGGAACTTAGCGACGCACATAAAGAGGCGACATGGGGTCTGCGGCTGAAAAGAGAAACCTCAAAGTTAGACATATGAGTTAAATCACTCAGTGAGGTGTTCTGTCAGAGAGAGTGGTGTTTAGTTTACAGCAGCCTGTGACGGCCAATAATAATTTAAATGTATTCCTCACTGTAAGCAGTTATGAAATACCTGTTTGTGAAAGGTTATTTGTATTATTTATTGTTCATATAGAACCCACTGCTTTCTGCTCACTGGTGAGTTAGCCTATGAATGAGTGTTAAGCACATCAGGCTGGCAGCTGGATGGGCATTGCTCTATGGTAGCTGTTATTTGCACATTGTTAATCATGAGCAATGCATCCTTACATTGTTTAACTGTGAGGTGTTATACAATTGTACTCTGGAGAGCTTTTAAAGGTAAAAAAATAAACGGCATGATGGGATGTGCAGTACCAAATATGTAAAGCACTTTTTTGTTAATGTATGATTTGCTGCATATAAGGAATAAAACAAAAATCCTCTGTCGTACCAAATTGAAGTATCATTATTTTTGCATCGTGTTGAATCGCATCGTATCGCACCGAATCGCATAATGTTGAATCAAATCGTATCGAACTGTATCGCAACAGGGGTGAATCGTATCGCATCGCCTGGTGTTTCAAATGTATCGTTAATGTATCGTATCGTGGCAACGTATCGAGATGCGCATCGCATCGGCCTCAGTGATGGAGATGCACATCCCTATTTCATACACATAAAGACATCACAAGACATTGCTTCCTCACAGTAAATCATTGAAAGCCAAATAACTCTTAGGGCTGATACAAATTAAATGGAATAACCCTTAAATGGAAATAAAATGAATTATGACATAAATACAAAATGATTCCCATGTTAATACAAAAGTATTCCAACTTTTCTACAATATAATATTCTACTTTTCTTTTTTCGTCCTGATGTAGAAGTAGTTGGTTTTGTTCGATATTTCTATTACTGTCAGTCTCACCCGTCTCACCTCTGACTCCTCAGAAAGATGTCAAATCTCTCCGTAATTGGATATGTTTGAGATTTAGATCAGTTTTGAAATATTAAAAATAGATCCGTGTCACACATGAGGGGAACGTGGATCTGGGTCACACTTTATCAGAGATTCACACTGTAGGATAGACTTGTTTATGTTGTTATTTCAGCCCGAGTGTTGTTTCCCGGCAGGTTCGGATGTACTCCAGAGCGCTGGCCATCATCGGAGGCTTCATGGTTCTGGCCAGCGGGGCGGGGGAGGTGTACAGACAGAAAGCCCGCAGCAGATCCCTGCAGTCTACTGGACAAGTGTTCCTGGGGGTCTACCTCATCTGCATGGTAAGACCCACACTCATTGTATTTATTTATTTCATTATTGTCTGAATGAAGATAACAATTCTGATATAAAAACACATTGAGACCAACACAGAACCAAAAAAGTCACGCAATACATTTTATTGACCAATTGTCAAAAAGTGCATTTTTTGAACAGACACATTATATTTCGATGCCCAAAGCAAGTGTTGGTCTAAATGGGATCAAGCATTAGAACATGTTGGGGACCTTTTAGCAGACATTCTCCAGTTCTACTTTTTAAATGTAGTAAACTGAACATCTTTTGGTCATAGGATTTGTAATTTTACAGAATAAGTTATTAATAAAGAAAGTGCTTGGTTCATTATTTGATAATGATTTACTTATAGCAGCCATTATCCTTACAAGCCTCTTTATCTTGCAGTCACTGTTCTCACCAAAGTTCTGCTGGGCTTTTCTTGCAACCACTACATGAAATAATCTTATTTGAGATAAGTGTACAATCGCATGATCACCATTTCTATGAATGACAATAGGCTTGTTGGCCGTTTATTTCTGAACAAGTCAAATAATAAGATAAGATGAAACTTTATTTATACCCTTGGGGAAATTCAGGCGTTAATAGCAGCAACAGTGTCAGAATGAAAAGCAGGATTCACACAGGGTAAGAATAAAGATCAAATAGAATAGAAATTCAAATAATAATACAGCAATAATAAAGTAACTATTAAAACAAGATCACACCATAAAAAGTTGTGCATTTGTGTGAACATGATACATATATTGACATAAGTGTGCAGATGAGAGTACAGGTTAAAGTCTTGTAAAACAGTGCAGGTGTTATGATGTTATGATAAACCCACCTGTAACACAATATCCCCCCCCCCCCCCAGGTGTACTCTCTTCAGAACAGCAAAGAGGACAGAATGGCCTATGTGGAGCACATCGTGGGGGGGGAGATCACGCTGACCCTGCTGGAAGTTCTGTTCGGGGTGCTGGCTCTGGCCTTCCTCTCCGGCTGGTACATCCGCCTGGCGGCTCAGGTCCTGGCCGTGGTGTTGCCCCTGGTGATCCTGCTCATCGACGGCAACCTGGGCTACTGGCACAACTCTCGCAAGGTGGAGTTCTGGAACCAGATGAAGCTGATCGGGCACAATGTGGGTATCTTCGGCGCTGTGCTGATCCTGGCCACTGACGGTTGAACCCTCTGGGCTCTCACAGAGAACTTTAACAGACCCAGGTGTCAGAGGGGACTGTTGGCTTTACGCAGCAGCCCGACTTGATACCCAAAGCTGCTGCCGCCGCTCTGCGACCTCAGGGCTCGAACACTCCAGGCTGAGACTGTTGGGTGTAAGCAGCGTCGGTTGTCTTTGCCCACCAGTTGGTATTTTTGCTTTTGCAAGAAAAAGAAAAAACACAGGCTACCTTTTTCGCAATTTAATTATTTATTCAGATCCATGTTTACGTTTCTGTCTGTTATGCTCTGAAACATGACGCTGAGTATTGATACTGTATTTACTGAGAAAATACCTTCTACAAGGAAGGTAGTCTTAAATGGTATAATATTTACAAGATATGGGTTTGCGAATAAAGGGAAACTTAAATTATACTTATGTTGCTTTTTTTAATGGAATGGGGTTTTGTTTATTTGTAATAAACAGTGTTTTTGACGCTTTTCTCTCGTGCAATCATGTGGTTTTCAACAAATGTAATTATAACATTTTAGTCACACTTTATGAAGTACATCCATTAGGTCAGTGGTTCCCAACCAGGCCTCAGATGATTTGAGGCCAAATATAATATTTAGACTTTTTTTTTTTTTTTTTCATATAATTGCAAGGCAGTACATGATTGTCACTAAAAGCCTTGTCTCTACATTACAATAACATATACAAAATAATTGATTAATTAATTTTAATAAAAATTCAAGTTAGTATTAAAGGCATAAAAAGACAGAAATGTATAATTCTTTCTTTAATAGAAATGTTTCTTCTGCCTGTAAAGTGTCCAAACCAGGCTTTTCTGGATAAGCGCATTTTTAAAACATAGTCATTGTCCATGCCGGTTTCAGTTGGATTATTTGTCACAGTTGCTCCAATCAGATCGATCTCCTCCATTTTGTAGATTATTTACGACTTTTGAATCCACATAAACACATCGGCAAAATCCGGCTTACTTTAAGCACGTGTTTTTAAACAGTTTAATCCCTTTGTGAATTGTTTCCACTTCCGCGCTGTCCTTTAATTTCTTCATACAGTGGGAATCCAAATAAATTAATCCTGAGTCCAATAACCATCAAAGTCACTCCAATAGTGCTCCTTAATGACGCTTTCATCCTCCTTTAACATCCAGTTTGTGACAGTAGTTGTAGCATTTTTGAGACTTTTAAACTTGAATTACCGCTGTTGCGCACCCCCCCCCTTCCAACAGGAGTCATTTGGGGGGGCTCTTGGGAAAAAAGGTTGGGAACCCCTGCATTAGGTTACATGCTGAAGCATATTGTCCATCTTTGAATTATTAGTTCATTAAAATTGTGTGCAAACTAATATAACGGCAATAATATGTATCTATTAGTCCATCACCTGACCACCGTAACTATGCTTTAAATGAACAGTTTTGCACAGGATGAAAGGCTGAATGAAAGTGCATTATGGTCTATATTTGATTTGACAATCTTAGATTTACAGTCTATGGTTAGACATTCAGTCCAGTCTCTTTCCACGCTCCTGCAATAGATCCTTCCTTCAAGAATGTTCTAGTGGGATGTTTTTGTAGAAACTGTTTCAGAAAGGTGGTTGCTCTGTATGCATATATTTGGTTTTATTTTCTCCAACCCATTTACATCTATGAGGTTGGAATTGATACCAAATGAACATCTTTCAAATGGATCTTATCATTAGAACATTCATGAAGATAGAGTTACTCCCAGAACTGTTTCATGAGACGACACTTGTTTGGCTTTATTTATTATGATGTGTTTTGAAACAATACTTTAATATAACATACTATGGTATGACTTTCATGAATATGTTTTGAATTACTAAACTATGAATTGTTTAATGACCTACTCTAAAATTATTTTTGTTCTAACCTTTTACAGCATACTGTACTATGAATTCATATTTAACTAAATTAGTCTTTGTTATGTTCAATGACTTTCCTTTGGACATGCCATACATAACATTTTATTATTATTATTGCAACATAATGCACTATCATTTTAATGACATACTATATGTATTGTGTAGTATTCATGTAATACTATTTGTATTAAAAAAGGAATAGTATAGTGTGTCCTAAAAGTCATGCTAAAGTATGTTGTAAAAAGTCTAATGTAGTTTGTTGAAACATTTGAAGAATCAAAGTATAGTATACTTAATTTCAGAAAAAACTGCAAAGTATATCATGTCAAAAATATCCCAAGACAATTCATGGCAAAGTATGTCCAAGATATTAGAAAATAACATAGTATACTATTGCGAGAAATTCATAAAATAGTATAGTACCCAAAAAGGCACAGTCTATTATTTTAAAAATATTTTTGAAAAAGGCACAGCATATTATTTATGCCGAAAATATTGTGGGAAAAAGCACAACATAGTGTATTTTCTCTAAAATAATTTCATCAAAACATGTCGAAAGAAAAAGCAGTATGTGGAAAAAATGTGAATAAATCCAAATAGCCAATATGAAGTCCAAAACATCTCTAAAATGACATGGTGTGTTATATCAAAATGTTTTAAAAGAATTTCAGAAACAACATATGTTGGAAATATCAGGGAAAAAACATAGTAGGCCTATGTCGTTTTTTCATCTTTTTAGACGTACTTTCCTATATCGATTTTTCTGAAATTTAAAAATACTACTGTTTTTTTGGCATATTTTCGACATACTATACGATGTGGTTTTTAATATATTTTCGATATACTATGTCGTTTTTTCTGAAGAATTCGACATACTATATATACTATGTGTATTTTTGCATAATTTGACATACTATACAAAAATATCAGAAAAAGTATATAGTATAGTGAATCATAATCATCGTAAAAAAATAATAAATTCAGTATGACATTTATTTTTTATAACTTTAATGGTTACCTTTTCTGAATGTTCGAAGTTTATTTGTGAAATATCCGTCACACAAATACTGTACATCCTTTTCATTCCATTGATAAAATATAAATACATAAAGACTTGATATATTGTAGACTTTTCAGACGTCAAGTGTGAGTGTCACAAAAACACAGGATTGTGTTTGAACTGAAATTAATACTGTCCAGTAATAAACATTTGACTGGGTTATTCACACAAATTATTCTATTACGCTTTGTTCCCGTACATTTTGAATCATGCTGTATTGATACAACAGTCCCATGAGTTAAAACAAATGAACACTGTCAAGTTAAGCTATCTAACAATCAAAGTATAGTTAATAAGTGTTGTTGATGTTACCAGTTAGAATTTGCCATCAGGTTTTTTTAGAGACAGCGAAACCCAGCCCGAACACACACACACACACACCCGCAGCATGGCTGGGAGTTTGTGTGTGTGCTCACACACCGGGTCCTTCTCACTTCGGTTAAATGGATTCCTTGCGTCCCTCACTTGCGTCGTTTCCCTGCGTCTAGTCCCTCCCACCAGGGAAGCATGGAGAGACGCAAGAGAGGCTTCTCAATTCTTAAATTTCCCCTCCTCGACTCCCCTCCTCGAGACTTAGTCCCGCCCACAGGAGATGCGAGCAGAGGACCGAGGAGGGGAATCGAGGAAAGAGGAGGGGAAGCAGTAGACGTTTAAAGAAATGAGAACTCCTCTCCTCTGAGTGGTCATATTAAAGCGACGTCCGTTCATTATTACGTGGCATCAGCTGCCTCAGCTGTCGAGTGTTTTGTCATAGCACTGTATTTTATAATCTCTGTTAGATCAGCTGAACATTGTTCCCCCACATATTTACTTTGAATTAATTGAGAGTGCGGTATAATGAGACAATAACAGGCTACAGATGCGGACACACACACACACACACACACATATATTTATATAAATATATACAATTTAAAGTATGAGAGCTCAGCACTCTCATAATAACGTAACACAATCAGAGACTGGATATATCCCCCCCCCCCTCTCTCTGGTCGCTGAAATGGGGAATTGAAATTACGGGCCAAAAGTTGTATTTACAAGTAGGCCTATTAAAAGTAAGCAGAGGACACCAAACCAACTGAGACCGTCTGTCCGCCGCATCTACGCACAGTACAACACACACTGTACCACACACACACCTACACACTGTACCACACACACCTACAGCTCCTAAAGCATATCAGGCTACAGCCGTTGTGTATTTTATTATGTGAAGCACTAAATGGTCTTAGAAAAATATCGACTCTTTGTTTGTAGTTATCTACTAAACTAAAGCAAATAAAGAGAGTAGGCCTGTTATACTGAGTGATATATATTATACACACTGCTCTGCTTTCTGCACGGACCTTACAGCTGTTCTCTCTGGAAACTTCGCGACGCGATGAAAGCAGTTTCTAAAATAATATCCAGGGGATGCATGCAGAGCTGTCATTGGCTGAGATAAGTCCGGCCGTGCGTCACGCCTCCACCGTTCCCGGAAATGCATCCGTGGAGGAACCATCACTGTATCCTCGGTTATAGCTCCTCCAGAGAGCCTCCTCGATGCTCGATCCTCGGTGTGCATTTAGAGACATGAGATGTCCTTCAAAATGGCGCGCTGAAATTCATTTCCGGGTCACTACCGGAGGACCGAGGAGTCGAGGAGGGGAAATTTGAGTATTGAGAAGCCTCTAAGGAAACCACGAGAAGCAGGGAAATGAGTTTTAAGAGCAATGGGACGTCCTTTCCTCCGGAGCGTCACGTGAAGCGACCTCCGTTTGTGATGACGCTGCACAGCTGATCGTCTGACAGCAGCTCTGTCCCCGTTATTTCCACACACTCCCCCGCCTCTGTTAGTACACATTTACTGACACAAACATTTGTATCATCTGTTGTAGACCCAAATAAATCAAATCAAATAAGAACTCATTCTCAAAAAAGATAAACGCCATTCTTAAAATGTATAAACGAACATTAGTTAGATTAATATTGATTAGAGTGCACAATAGAAATAAAATAATTGAGAGAAGAAAAAGAGATATATTATCTATCAAAACCCAGTTAGATTAACATTCATTGGATTGCACACTTTGTGTGGATATGTAGCACATTAAAATTTTAATAGCACGTAATGACTGACTGAATGGAAATGACAATAAATGAAAATGTAAAACGAAAAAAGCGATCATGAAAATGTTTCCAAAAAATGAATAAAATGATTTTTGACCACTTTGTTGTTCAGATATATCACATATTTGTAACTAAATGAAACAGGAATTGAAACAAAACACGGTATAAACTGAGGAGTGAGTCCCGTGAGTTTCATGTGTTTTCTTCACTCCGCTGGGAAACTGCTCTCATGTCAAGAAGCATGAGATCAGATCGTTTTTGTCTTAGCTGTTTTAACTTTTAAATGCACTGGAAGGCGACCTTGGGTGTCCTGAAAGGCGCCTCGAAATAAAACGTATTATTATTATCAGTGCATGTGCTGCATCGTCCAATCAGAGAGCGATACACAGTAAGGGGGCGGGGCGAGTGTCTGAGGATTTAATCGAAGGATGGTCTGGTGGTTCCTCGATTATAGCTCCTCCATTATCGCTCCTCGCTCTTCGTTCCTCGATCCTCTGGCAGAAATAAGACCATTGGGACGCTACTCAAGATGGCGCAGACAAATCAACTTCCGGTGATACCGAGACCGAGGAGCGAGGAAATGAAAAATAAGAGAAGTGAGAAGGGCCCACCGACTCACAGCCTCACGGAGCTGCAGCTGAGAAAAGATTGAGTGTGTGAGGAAATCCGCCGATTGGTCCATTTGGACCAATGGGTCCATTTGGGTATGGGCACGTCACTGTACCCAGGAAGAAAACAATGGAAAAGAGAAATGTCCAACGAGGTCTTTTCTGTGTTAGAGTTGTACTCGCTACAGGGTGTACTTTGAGGGTTTGTGACTCTGCAGACCGTTTACATGCAGAAAAACCTTCATAACACACAAGGGGACGGGTAATAACCGGAAAAGCATGACATGAACAAAAGAAAGCTGTAAAGGCGATTACAAATATTTAAGGTAAGTGGGTCCTCAGGATGCTCCTTACTAAGCATACGAATGGAGAAGTGTGGGATACCTCACAGAGGAGCGAGCAAGGTCAAAATAAAGAAGTGAAATTCATTTCTCTGGTCTCTCTGAGTCGTCCTCAGTCACAGTTTGCACGTTCTTCTTGCTGTTGCGCTCGGCTTTGACCAGCGCCCCGATGACAGCCAGCATCACGGTGATGGTGATGACGAGCACCGAGGCTGTCTCAGCGATACACAGCTGGCTGTCCATGGAGGCCAGGGAGCTCCCGGCCTGCTGCTCCGGAGCGTGGCACACGATGTCCTGGTAGTCGTCCACATGCAGGTGTCGAACGTAACTGATCTTGGAGAAGTCCCGCTGCAGTTCGCAGTCACAGGTCCAGCGGTTGAGGGACATCTGGAGGTGGGTGGAGGTGGTCTGGAGCTTCAGGAAGGTCTTGAACCGGATGTGCTCCAGCTGGTTCCCCCGGAGACTCAGCAGGGTCAGACTGCGCAGAGGGGCCAGAGCATGGGTCTGGATCAGGGAGATGTTGTTGTGGCTGAGCAGCAGAACCTCCAGGCTCTTCTGCCGGCTTAGCAGCCCGTCAGTCAGCACGTTCAGCCGGTTCCCCTCCAGGCTCAGGACGCTCAGGTGGGTCAGGCTGCTGAAAGCCCCCACATCGATGGTCCAGATGCAATTATAACTGAGGTCCAGTTTCCTGAGGTTTTCTAAATCCCTCAGGGAGGATGAGTGGAGGTGCAGCAGTAGGTTGTGGTCCAGCTGCAGCTCCTTCAGGGAGGACATGCTCTGGGAGAAGTCTGGAGGGAGCCCCCGCAGCTGGTTGAAGCTCAAGGCCAGCTTTTCCAGGAACTGAAGGGACGACAGAGACTGGAAAAAGAAATGTCACCATTGTTTTGGCCTTTTGAATTTAAGTGATTTAAGTCACCATTTTGAGGTACTGATTACTATTAGGCCTTTGCTTCCTTAAACTAATTTCAGGGGCAAATGTTACTCTCCAACCTTAATTAATAGCACATCAGAAACAGCCAATTTGTCATTCCACAAACAAATGTGTTTTGACAATGGCCAATTATTGTAATCATTCATCAAGGATAAGTGCTAACCATTTGATGAGAGCTTTATAAGTGTAATGAATGTTAATTTCTCGGCCAGATATTGATTTAAAATGTACAACAATTTGAGGATGACACTTTGGGCTCAGAGTACATATTTAGATATGTTTTCTAACATTGAACAGATTAAATGTGGGGGAAATTATCAATAGCTTAATAGATGTCACCAGCTTCATAGACAATACAAATAAGTTGCCCAAGTTCACAGCTAGTTAATACTTTGAAGACTAAATAAAAATGTTACATGCAAGCTGGAATGGAAAGAAAAATGGTGCCATTTCAACTAAACCTGTAAAAGGTACCTCCACCTCCAGTCAGCAACATTGAAATGCTGCTTACACATGTATGCACCATTATTGATTAAATCATAAAGTATGACAAGCCCTTTGTCTGAATTACGAGTACCTTTAGTTGATGTTTTAAGTACATTCAGCTCTTAAAACGTACCTTGTATGTTTCTAGTACGTAGCATACGGCTAAGAAAGCTTGATTTCTTTCTTGAGGTATAATTTATTTGACATGAGTCATGGATGTATATGGATCCTCCACTGTAGTATTATATGAGATGAAACGGTGTTGGTACCTGTGGCTGCAGGGTCTGGATGCTGTTGTTGGACATCAGGAGGATCTTCAGAGACCACAGCCCCACGAAGGCCCTGCTGTGCACTTCGGTCAGAGAGTTCCCCCTCAGGTCCAGCAGCCAGGTGCCGTGGGGGACGCTGGGGGGGACCCTGACCAGGGCCCGGGCACGGCAGTCCACCAGGTCAGAGGACTGGTAGCAGAGACAGTGGCTGGGGCACAGCCTGAAGCCCAGCCCCGGGGGGAGGAGGAGGGGCAGCACCAAGAGCACCGAGCAGCTGACGGACATTTTCAGTTTATATCTGTGTGATGCTGCTAAAAGGCATGTTACCTTCTCCCTACCAAGAGAGGCTGATATTGATGTAACCTCGGGAAATTGTCGATGAGCGTACACTGGACATTCCTGATTAGAGAGGGATTATAGGCTTAAACAAATAATCACAAAACGTAACCGTATCTCGGGAGCAAACCAGGCCAGTTTTGGATCCTCTCCTAAAATAAGGATTTACATCTGCTGCTCTATTTGGATCATAAAGCTGTCCTTTTATATTGAAGCAGTTACTTCATATTGCCATGTCTGCATCACATTACAAAATGTAAGATTATATGGAGTTCTAAAACTGAACTGGGGATGAATGCTTTACCATTTACAATGCGATATAAAAAGTACTCAAGATGCAGCACTTGGATTATTGGGCAAAATAACCCCTGCTTAAATTTTACGTTATTTTCTAATAAAAACTCTAAAAGCTTTTGAAATGGGAATATTTGTGTAGTATCGATGTCCTCAGTACATTAAATTAAATACTTTAGTACCAATTATCAGATAAATCATGACACGGAAGGAAATTGCAAAACATATTTTCACTACTTTGACATTTTATAGACCAAATCGACCAAAAGCAGCTTTAGAGTAATCGGAGGCTTAACACATTTAAATGATTCATTATGAACAGCGATGGCTTCAGGTTCCTGTAATTACATGGCTGCATCACAACCAGGCTACCAAACAATCTGTAGAGAGAAACCTGAGCATTGTCCAGAGAAACCTCCTCTGATGACGAGAGGGGACAGCCTCATGCCCCCCCGAGGAAAAGTGATGTCACGTTGAATTTTCAAAAACCCCACAAAGTGAAACAAGCTTAGTACTCCACCCTCAATAATGCCCAACAGTTGCTCAGAATGTGTTCAGGAGTTCTTCAAAAAGTTGTTGAAAATTACAGTCAGAATTTTTGTTACTTTTATTTTAGAAAATGTCCTTTAAAGTGTGGCATTTCAAGTCACATTTTGTTTAAAATACAGAAAATACAGACAGTAGAACATGGATACAGCAAAAAAGGAAACGATGACAGAAAATAAAGCTAACAAGCCTTTCTGACTGCTCTAGTTTTCTCTTTTTGAAATGGAACTGAAGGCAAAGGAAGGAGGGCGGAAAAAAGAAAAAGGCTTCAGGGACAGGAGGGGGTGGGGGTGGGGGGTGGGGGTGGGGGGGGCAGAATGAGACAAGTTAGTTAAGGAAACTATGGTTGCTTTATGGTTCATGTTTAAATTATTCTTTATAAAGTCTAATTTAAGATTTAATCTTTCCTCTTTCTTTTTTGTCTTTTTTTTTCATTTAATGGTATTTTGATCTTCTGGATCCAGGGCCCACAGCGCTGCTCCTTGTGGTCTCGGACTGAGGACAAGGAATGCCGAATTAGTCTGGCAGTGGGAACAAAACCCCCGCGTCGCCTTCCCCGGCCGACCCGCGCTGCCAACTCAAGAAGATAAAGTGGAGTCCTTCTGTGTTTGCTGTGCTTGTGAACGTTGCATGGACTTCTGACTTTCCACGTCTCTAAAATGTTTCTCAACCTGCAAGAACGAAACCGTGACATTAAAAAAAAACCGGGGACACCATCTTGTGAATATCTAATTTAAATCATATCAGGACGTTGCTGTACAGAGAGCAACAACGTGAAGCAGGCTATACAGTTTTACAAAGCGTTTCAGCGCGATATAAAACAGTTATTCAGAGACAGAAGGAAATACATTATAGCACTTCACACAAATAATAACATGGAGGGTGTTGATGCTGGGGAGGTATGCGCCAACCCAAGAGCTTTTTCTGCCGGTCGAACAGCATCTGAAACCAACTTCCTCTACAGCTTTCCAAAGATGGAGTTTGGGGGGGCTGTGTCCATCAGTTTCAGTAACTATGGGAAACCGAACAGACAGGGCTTCAATCAAGCTTTCTTGTCTCATTCCCAACTTTTTTGTGCTTTTATGTGTTTCTAAGTCTCGTTTGGTATGTCTTGCTTATAGTTTTAATGCCAACTTGGCCAGTGCTTTACAGTTCTTGACACCCAAAGAGGAAGATGGGAGGGATTAACCTGATTCAACCCAAACTCCGAAAGCTTCTTTTTTAACGAGGGTATGTTTAGCGGTAGAGGGGACACATGTTAAGCTGAATCAACTAGCTGATTGCTCTAAAAGTCAAGAACAAAACTTAATTTCAACACTGTTTTGATGTTGAATTCATCATTTCAGACTTCCTTTGTAGCTAAATGCAACACTGTTCCCAAATGGGAGGATTTACTTACACAACAGTAGATAGAGTATCTTTAGGTTATGCTTATTGGCTAGGCTATAAGGCATTTATCTAGCAAAAGAAGCCGAGTCATTTTCAACTAGAAGTGCTTAAAAAGCGCCACACAAGAAAGTTGGAGCACTCTGGGTGCAAGAGAACAAGTTGTGTATTGTTGGAGTATTATTGTAAAGATAGGAAGCATACTTACTATTTTGCGTACATGACTTAAAGCGCTTCCCTCTTTGCCTTTGCAGTTCTCAACCTGGTAAGGCGGCGAGATTACGACGTCGTCCATCACAATAATGTTCTTCTCCTGCCATTTACAGTCTTTGATGCTGCAGAGGAAAGAAAGATCATCACACCTGCAGCTCAAAATGCTACGAGACACGACAGGAAATCACTTTCATTCTGTTTCACTCCGCTGTCGGAATGTCATTACTTTGTTATCATTGGCACAGTATCCACTAAATCAGGATATGTGTCATGCGGGATAGAAAGTTCATAAGTTTCATAGTTTAATGCCTTGATCAAAAATGAGACATCAATTTCCTGTGATTGTGACGTTGCTCTCAAAGTAAAGTGTTGGAGCGTTTAATAATGCAACAAAAACAAGACATTGTGTGATTGTTAAAAAGATATTTTCTATTGCGCATTTTTTCTCCTCTAGTCAGCCAAATCCTGAATGAACAAATAAAGCGTCTAAAATAATAATTCCGTTTGTCAAATCGTGTCTTAAAAAAACAAAACGTTTTAACTGAATTGACAGAGCTTAAAAAGGTGAGGTCATATTGTTGGGTCATCCGGAAAGAGGGGAAATATTTAGGGGTGAACAAATACGAGTGAATGTAAAGTTTGTCTGTGTCCAAGTACACAATACCTCTGAGGAAAAAACACTGTCATTCATTCATTCACGAAAGCCTAACCAGGGTTTGGGAATGCTAACAAGGCACAGCTGGGAGTACTGCATCAACTGCATCAGTTGCACTTTAATGCCTGAACTATTTAAATACCCCCAACTAAATATTTAATAATCAGAGCTCCTTTCCATTTGATAAAAGCAGCAGCCTGTTTCTGCCGAGTTGTCAGATTATTTTCAATTATTACTTGTTGAGCTCTAATGAAAATCATTCAAATCCCTCTGGTTCCTTTCTTTATTAGAGGTTAAAGGATGTGTGTCAAGGTCAGATTGGATCTTGAAGACTTCTCAATAGAGGTAAGCCGTTACACTTTATACTTTCTTAGCATTTCAATATCAGCGTTATTTCATCTTAACGACACGTGTTGCTCTGCTGAGCGACCTGCAGCTCTTACGTTTTGTGAATGGTCTGGAATAGCTGTTGGCCCTCCACAGAAACCCCAGCACTGATTGCATAGGCTTGGGACAGCTTGTCCTCCTTTTCTGACCGTGCTCGATTGGCAAGCTGTGGAGAGTGGAGCAGAGAGGCATTGTTAACATCAAACAGTGTTTCATTTGACAGCTTTGAACAGGAACAGCTTTCTATTCGCATATTACAAAAATAACAGGACAGTTTCAACATTTGTCCTCCTAAGTCTTTCGGTAAATCTAAATATTTAGCTGTGAGACACATTTTCCAAATCTGATTTGCATACATACTTGCACAACAAAGTGATCTCTATCACTGGCTGAACAATGAGAGTTTACATTTCTCTCCCAAGGGGGTGGAGCTTAGAGGAGCTCTAACTCAGTAGAAAACACCCTGAAAATGCCACCAGGGTTAACACTGGGTTTGTTTTATAGCTCTGTCTATTTTTTAATAAGTATAAGAGCCATCGACAATAATCTGTTTTGATTCTATTGGCATGAACTCATTCAGGGGGCTGGATCCTCAGTAGTCCATATTTCTCGACTAACTAGATCACATCACAAGTTAGCGAGGACGGCAAAGGCATATCATTTTTAAGCCTCGTTCTAGCAGAATCTATTATGGCTTGTAAGCTCTAATATACGTACACATGTACTGACCATATAAAGTCACTAAATATTAAGTGACTGCCTCGTATTTCACACGCAGGCATCCTCCTTGGTACTGAAGACCAATGAAAAAGCCAGATGATATCAATCAACATTTTACTTTGAAGTTGGGTAGATTCACCAGAATGCACCTTCAGATTTGGTCAATTTGAGACGAGCGGGCGGTGCTTATGTTCATCCTCACATTCACCTATTGGAGAGGCTCTCAACTCTTTACAAGATAGAGGAAATACCTGGAAAACCCACAAGCATGTTCCTTGGAGTTATTTGACCAGTTTTATACTTTTATTGTCTTAGTTATGAAAGAAAAGCAACAAAAAAGCCTTAGAAAGACGTATTTAACACCATTGGCAGACTAGTTAAAGATTTGTTGGATTAGAACATAATATATGAATTACTATAGATATTAAATGAAATATTTGACTTTCAAATGAATATCGAACTAGAATATGTATAACTGTTCAAATGAATGAATCTGAACCTTCCACACTGACCCTTTGGGGAAAGTCAGACAGACTCAACAGAACAGCTCTCAGTCCCATCACACTCGTGATTATCATCACACTGACACAGGAGAAGGACAGAAAGACGTACCTTGCTAACATTCAGAGATGCTAGTGGGGGTGGGGTCTCGGTGCGGTCATTAATGATGTCCACATCAGAAACATAGGCTAAGTTGATCAGGATGACGTCGTTGAGGTTCGGCTTGCCGCTGGAGGAAGCACATTCTTGGAAGGAACTAAAGTCAAGGCACACAACTTCATGACAATGCATCACAAGACAAAATGACTATGGAGATCATCTGACCCCTCAGGAACCTGAACACATGCAGAGGAGCTGATGATAGGGAGAACACTGGCCACTAACAGGCGGTGAGAGGTGGTGCCAGTTACTGAGGCAAGGGGGTGCACTTATTTCCAGCTGCAAATAAAGTATCCATTTGCTGTGATATACCACTGACTTTAAGGGAAATTAAGCAATGCTTACAGCTGGACTTATTTAACAAATTATTTAACAAATAAAATAAATGTAGCCACTTAAAGCGCACTGGTTTGCTTTTAGATTAAATCCTCCATTCTTTTCCTAGAAATATACTTTTGAGTGAATGAACAGCAATACAGGTACATCACATTTAACAAAGTAAAGGAGAATGTGGCAAATTAATTTCTATGAAAGTGTGGGGTTCTAAAAACCCTACAAATCCCAGGTATCGAACACACTTGCCTGGTCTGTAATACAGGAAGGGCTTGTCAGACTCATCAATGTCATTCCAGCAATGTGTACAGCAGCCAGGCTTTCCACATATTTAGGTGAGATTTACAATATATTGAAGGCATTAGTTCACACAATGACCTTTACTTTTGTGGCTCACTGATCCAATAGAAACAAACAAGTCAGGGTCAGAATTTGACCTGTTATGACAGTGAAAACATTACATGTTCACTCAAGTGGCATACATACATTGCTCATACTTTCCATATTGCACGCATTATGGTTTCATTATGAGCTGCATATGCTTAGATTACATCTAAACCCCATTAAAAAAAGCTTAATAGAAATGTCCAGGCTGTTCTAGTTCATCATCTCATTCAGATGGTTTAATTATGAACTAATTAGACTCATGTTGATTCAGTTCTTCTTGGAAGGGACTGAAGTGTCACACAAACCGAAAGGCCTTTGATGCCAACTGTCAAACCATCGCTGTGCATCGACTTCATTCCTTTGGCGGTTCACTCCACTGACTTGACGTTAACTACACCTCAAAAATATACATGAATGTAAATCATGAGTGGGTCCAGCATTCCACCTAAATAATGTGCATTTTATCCGCACACATACACACGATCAATGGGTAGACAAGATCACCAGCAAGCTAATGTTGGTTGTAATAAGCTACTGATGTATCTTCCCCTGGAATTCTGTTGAAATGACACAGAACTGTAACATATGTCACCCTATATTAACTGTACAATTACAGTTCCACAAGGGTCGGGTTGAGACGTGGGGGAAAAGGCCAGCTGATAAGCTCCGGAATGCTAATACCGTTAATTGAGCTAACGTTAGTAGCGGCGGTGTGGGGTTGACCGACAATTAGCATGTTAGCCGAGCTACTAGCAACTTGATTGTAGCGTGGATAGGAACTCAGTGTCCATTTATCATTATGTTTTTGAAATCAATCGTTAGTTTGTCCAAAAGAAAGGCACCACAAACTACATAGAGTAAATGTGTGCACGGGAGCCGGGGCGAGGTGCCCTGAATGTCAGATAGCTTGCTAACTAGCAACGGTTTGTGCCTGTTGAGAGCAAACAGCCATGATGCCTTACTAGGATTCGTTGCCAGATAGTGATCCATGTTGAGTTCTGGCAATACAATGAGTGGATTCACAACCCATGCTCTTTTAATGAGATAACGTGAAGCATTGAAATGACCCGATAATACATGCAAAGCCTTTAACAGATGCAATAAGGATGGGCGACTACCTTAGAAGGGAACACATTTAAAACGGACAAAGATATGTAACTCAGCTACCACCAATTACGCCTGCGCGGATCACTATTTGACATATTTTCGGTTACCCTACAGGCCCTTGCAGCCAGGCAGGCCAGCGAGCCGGCCGCAGCTCGAAACAAACAAAGGATACTCAGAGTCAACATCTTGGACTGGTAGTCAAACGCGACCACTTCTCCTTGCAGACGTTGGCCCAAGCAGGTGAGGCAAGAGACATGGCTCCCGACGCTGAAATACTCCCCCGGTCCAGGAGCCGCCATCTTCTCCGCCAGGAAACCGGAGCGCCTGCCTTACGTAAAGCAACGCGATGTCGTAGTGAGGCGAAACCGGGGCGTGTCGAAGTACGTCGCGTTACGGTCATTCAATCTAAAACGACGAATTATATTCACTAATGAAACTATGTTGTATCCCCATGTATATGGTAAACCCGCATGATCCCTAAATAATTAAACTGTTTCAATTTTAGACTTCGTTCGAATATAACTGAAATCATCGAAGTACAAAGTTGTGGCTTTGTCTCCCATAAAGTGGCGCTCTCTATTCATAGGGCTCCCCCTACCGGTGATGTGACGGCACTGCTAGCTTTGCTGCAGCCACCCCTGAATAACTCATGATCAGGATTACATTTTGATTATTTTTATTCACATCTAAGTAGTAGGACGAAAGCATGGAGGACATTCACACCCAAGGCATCTGGATGGCTGAAAGTCTCCAGAAGAGGACGATGAGCCAAGAAAAAATATGGCTGGTTATCACTCATATTGGAGATCCCAAAGCAGCCTTTCTGCTCGTCTTTCCTTTCGCATATTTCTTCAGCAAACGAGCTGGAGTAGCTGTGCTTTGGGTAGCAGCTATATCGGAGTGGTTAAACTTGGTGTTTAAATGGTAAGGCACAACACATATGTTTATAAGAACATGGTTTAATGCGGAGCTTCTCTTCTCTGTTTTGTTATGTTAGGCATCTCAAACATATGTTAGCAATGCATGAAGCTAAACGTGCTGTTGACATTCAGATTTGTTAATGTTAGGTAGATACCCCGACTACTATTGTGCTTTATCATTATTATGACATTTTTTAAAAAAAAAGCAAAAATGAAGTTAGAAACAATTGTATTATTTATTTAGTTTTCGTTGCAGTTTCGAGACCCAAGGCAATTGCAGTTCAACACCGTCTACTGTCCGATGTGAAACAGATAAAAGGCGGAACCCTTTATATTCAGCAGTACAATTACTCGGCATACTAGGCATTTTGTAGTAGATACAATTACAAAATATATTTAACATTGGTAACGGATCACAAGAGCATACTACGAATAGCTATCATAAATACTTAAAAAAAACAACAACAGATTATTTGCACAACTGTTATTGTAGGATGTTATCTGTTCAGAATGAGATGGGACTTAAGGACAGGGTACTCAAAATTGAAAGTCAAATAAGCATTAAATGATTGTCGGATAAACAATGTTAGGACAAACAAAGTATCTTTAATATACAGTACAAAGACTAACTGAAGTAATGTTGTTTCACCATGTGGTACAGTTGGTGAAAACAGACCAAATGGATATCAAATTGCATTATTCTACTTAATGTGTGGTGAACTGATTTCTTTACTAGGATGCTGTTTGGAGAAAGGCCATTCTGGTGGATAGGGGAATCACGTCTGTTTGTCAACAGAGAACCAAACGTTCTCCAGTTTTCCTCAACATGTGAAACAGGCCCAGGTGAGCAGTCATTCAATACAACATATTTTAATTTCTGTATAAGTCATAGAACGAAACCTTAATTCAGTGCAAAGTCAGAGCTCTAAAGCTGAACTCCGTCTCTCAGGGAGTCCGTCGGGACATGCAATGGTGACGGCAGCAGTCTGGTGGGTCGTGGTGTCCACACTGGGGTCCTTCCTGTACTCACGGACTCACAGGTATGCCCACTTCAGATAAACAAAAAGAAAAGATTCACAGATCAAACAAGTGGAGATCATCAGAGCTATTGTTTCCCAAATGAATCCCGTTATTTGTGCGTCTCCAGTGTGGTGTTATCGGCTGCTCCCTACCTGCTGTATGTGGTGATGCTGGTGGCCGTTGGAATGTCCAGGATCTTCATCCTCGCCCACTTCCCTCACCAGGTCATCGCTGGCTCCATCACAGGTCTGAACACAGTTTGAAGCACCTGCTAGAACATGGATTGTGTGTAGGGCATATGTGTAAAATCCTCTACCTCTGTCTTTATAATTGTACATAAAAACATTGATGCATGCTCAGCAGAACGTTGCTTAGCGTACTTCTGTCTGTTTCTCAAACCAGGGGTGTGCCGATGGCCATCTACTGTAGGTTATACACTGACTATGGATACGGATGTGATGTGGATATTGTTGACAGTACCTTTTACAACCCCACTCTAAATATGGAATTATCACTGAAATACTCAAAACTGTCCATAATTACCATAAAACCTCGGACTCTTTGATTTGTAACAATTCCCACTGTAGTCTAATCCACTTTTCAGACCAGTTTTAAAGGAATGGAAACATATTTTAGGTTAAACGTAGATCTATTATCTAACATTAGATTTCAGCATACCATGGAGGTAATTTTCCATACAAGTAAAGAACAAACACGGTATTTTCCTTGGAGATTTTAACCTATAGCGTTCTTTTGTAAGGCTTCATTCTGGGGGTGGTCCTGAGTCGCAGAGTACCTGAAGGTCGCCCCCTGCTGTTCTTCTTCAGCTTCAGCATGGGCCTGCTGCTCGGCACTCTGTTGCTGCATGCTGGACTGCAGCAGCTGGGATTGGACCTCTCCTGGTGAGTCTTTCTATAACATGTATGTGTATTGATGAGTCTTATCATTGTATAATAAGCTCTGTGAGGTGAAGCTGTACGTTGTTCTTGTTTCTATCTATTCCACAGGTCTATTACTTTGGCTAAGAAGTGGTGCAGCCGTGCAGAGTGGATCCGTTTGGACACGGCCCCGTTCTCCTCTCTGACTCGAGACTGCGGGGCCCTCCTGGGTTTGGGGCTGGCCCAGTACTGGAAGCCTGGAGGGTGGTCTCTGCCCTGGGCCCCCCGGGCTCTGTCTCTAGCCATTTCCTCTATGGGACTGTACCACGTCAACCGTCTGCCCCTCCCGGTGCGACCTCAAGGCCTCTTCTATAGCCTGTTCTTCATCAAATTCGTCATTGTGCCTCAGGTTGTCATAGTGCTGGTGCCCGGACTGGTTTACCTTTTCACGCACAAAAAGAAGAAGGACTAGAAACTACAATAAGGACTTTAGATTCTAGGTTTCTGGAGGCACCTTTAATGTCTGTCTATTTTCAAATTCATGGTTGTGTTAGATACTCCAAATTAGTTTTTGTTCTCTTATAATTCACATGGCATGAGTCTTCAGGTTGTTACTTCATGCTCCTTCATTCTTGGCTTTCATTTTACTGAATTCTTGGGGTTGAATCTGATTTGAATTCTCTTCACATTTGCAGTGAATACAGCAATAATAAGTGTTGATAAGGTGGTATTAGGCCTCAAATAAAATGTTACCTGACTTTGAAACCTAATTTGGCGGGGTCTGGCTCTTGATGGTTACCAGGCTGTAGAAAAACCTCTTGTTGATCCTTTGCACTTAAAGATTAGGCCAAGGAAAATATCTGGTGAATCAGAAAATGTTTTTCTTCGTGAAAGTCAGGACCATTGTTCATGAAAATACTAGACATGGTTAAAACAGCCAAGAAACTTCAAACCTACAATCATTGAGACTTTACAATCTTCAAGAACATTTAGAAATGGTTAATGTTACCTAAGAAAGGTCAAAAGGGTTTATCAATGCATTCCTATAACAATGCAGCAGAATCTGAAATACCTTCTTTGTTTATTCTACACTCTCCGTCCCTGTCAAACCATAGACTGTATATATAGTCAAAACCTGGTGCATATATTACCCACAATGCAATTCAACCACCAACAGTTTGCTTCAGACATTCAGGTGTGCTATGCTAGCAACGGCAAATATAGCCTCAAGCCATTAGCCTACGTCACTTGAGGGAGTTAATCATATTTTGCGCGGCTCTGTTGATAGTGAACAGACTTTGATGTGTAAAATAAGTACACCTAAATGTTTGAAAGTCCACAATGTTAGGTATAAGGTAACATTCTGTGCACAATTAAACATTAAGACTTAAATTGATCATATCTAGGGGAAAAACACCATATTTGGGCCAAAAAGGTGCTGCTACTTTGGTTGAAAGGTCAAAGATGATTGAACACTATAAGACATGTATCTCTGGGAGTCACATTGCACAGGTTGGTACTCTGTCGTCACACTGCTGTTACATTTAGTTTTGTGGACCAAAATCCACCAAATTATCCGTGTATGTAATATACAATTATTCAGTAAAATAAACGACTGACATGCAGGCCGTGTTTCAGTTGGTAACCATTTATAAATATGTTCTTTTTTTTCTCCATTACATAGGTTTGACTGTACAGATTACAATCAGTTATCATGAGATAAAAACACATTCTTTTTTATTGTTTTTAATTAAACTTTTTATCACAGCGATCTGAAAGCTCACATTTACAGACAAGATAACTCTGCTCAGCAAGCAAATACATTAAAATAAAAATAAAAGGAACCGTTTGCTTTTTGTCTGGTGGGGTTGAAGGAAAATGATAAGGACAGTTCAAGTAGCAGTCTCCTTATCTTCATCCGGACGTCGTACCACACCAGGGTCAGAACACCGCTATACATGTTTCTGCTTGAGCTCATGGAAAGAATATAACATGCATAAGACTATTTACAGCAAACTAATATACATAGACAGCTTCAAACCATACACCCTCATCTTAGAAGTATTCTTAAATTAAGTATAATACAGTTTATACCTTCATTTCTGTAAAGATAAGTAGGGCATCTCTCCGGTGAAACCTCTTTAGATATTCTTTATCAGAGAAACCAAAATAAAACGTTACAGACAAATGGTCTATAACTTTTCCCACATATACAAAGAACTTGGATATTCTCATTATTCCACTTTTTCCACCACCTAAACTCCAAATATGGAGTTTTCTGGGCGCTGAAACTTCAGTCATATTTTCTTTTTTGTTGCAGTAGATTTGACCTTATTTCAAGATGTGTGCAAGACCAGTGGATTAGACTGGCTTAGTTAGAGACTTTAATGGATATTTCCTTTATGATTCTTAAATATGATTTGCCTCTTGAAACAGACCTGCTTCACCCACAAACCCGAGAGGAGTCAGTATATACAACTTGTGCTAGAAAGTCTATACATCTTCACCAGTTTAAAAACATTGGCTGCTCTTCATGTTGTCATTCATCACTGCTTTGTAAATCATATAATAATTATTATAATATTATTATTGTCTATGATAGTCTCACTGGTCAGAGGTCAGCCTGATCACACGCCCGCTTTTCTCCGAATTCAACAATCATAACAACAAAGTAAGTAAAATACATAAAGTGCACCCTTAGTTTAGAACTTAACAGGCATTTTTAGTGCAGAAGTGGCGGAATAAAAATGCATTGTGGGTAAAAAGAAACAACACAAACGTATGCAGGAAGGGGGAGGTCGGTAACGGTGGTCGTGTATGCATTTGCTTGCTTTTAATCGCTGAGCGCTATCCATGTTAGCCCATCACTAGCATATGTACTGTACTCTCTCTAAGGAACACTGTCACAGAGGAGGGGGGGCAGAGAGGAACTTTGATACTCATGTACCACATCATATATTCACCTCTGCATCATATGACCTGCATTCATTTACGCTTAAATATAGCAATCTATCTTCAAGCCAGGTTTGTATTAATTCTGCATCATGTAAGCAAGTATTCAAAGCTGCTTATTGACAGGGAGCTAGTCCAATATGTCAGGAAACGTTATTAAAGCCTTGATGCTAATGAGGTCTGTGATAGGGTCATTATCCTGTAAATAAAAGCGAGACTTTACGATCTTAACATTATTTTATACACTTTGTGCAACTGGGAGTCAAAAACTATTGATTGTAAGTCAATTATAATATCAATATTACTATTAATTCAACACATCTCTTGTTCTAGCTTACAATATGAGGATTTGTTGCACTGTTAACTGAATATTGTTGGATTTTGGACTGTTGGTCGGACAAAACGTAACTTTTGAAGACCTCATGTTGGATCAGATTTGGGCATGTTGCTATATTATGACATTTTACTTCAAAACATCTTCAAATGTAATTTTACATTTAAAAGTAATCTGCATTTTCTTGCATTAAGCCACAACAAACTCTTTTTTATTATGACACAGAGGTGAGTATATCATTCAGAGTTGTTCCATGTCCCTCCTTGCCCTGGTCTAATTTCCTCATCCATATGACTAGCAGTGGGACACAAAGGCAGGGTTAACAAATACAATTCAAACGCAAACTATGCTTTTCTTTCTATGTACAATATATAACTTAATTATAAATATTGTAATTTTTCTCTAAGTACTGAGTTGTTGAGCCATTTGTATTTTCTGAGCAATGTACAGTATTGAACATAGAATATTGTATTACATAGAATAGAGCCTACTAGCAACCTCGGTTAAGAGCACACTTTGAAAGAACAGAAGATGGATACAGTCCACGAGAAGAGTCCGATGATGAGTACTTTCACTCCTGCAGTCCCACCCGATGTGTTCACCTGGTGGGACTTTGTGCCACGTGACGTTTTGGAAGTGCACTGGTCTTTGATTCAGTATTAGAACTCCTGTTATCCCGTGTGTGACGGTTTATGATAATGAAAGAATCGCTTCTCAATGTTAGTTATTCTTCTTGTTTAAGATAATGTCTAATCTCCTACGCGTTTTCTCTCTCTCTGATGAGTTCTTTAGGTTCGTACATGTCACATACACAAATGTTCAGCATCATATCCTGTCAAGCTAAATATTTTTCTCCTCTCACTCCCACTAACACACCCCAGCCCACTCAACCAATCACAGGCGGGCCATCACACATTCGACTCCACAAATGGTCTCTTTGGTTTGATGGGGGAGGTGGGGCCTTGGGAGCGGGAGTCCCGCGAGAGCTGGCGGTACATGTTGTCCTGGTAGGCCTGAGCCACGGGCAGAGTCCTGGCCACCTTCACGTCGGGGTAGGTGGGCACCTGGCTGACCCGTTCCAGGATGTCCCCCCCACCGCGGGAGCCGTTGGCCATTTTCCCCAGTGAGGGCGGCTGGGTGTAGTAGTCCTCCTCCAACAGGTGTCCGTTCTGGGCGTTGTTGGTCTTGTTGTAGTAGGCGATGTTGCCCAGCGAGGCGGGGGGGCTGTAGGTGGAGCCTTGCTGGACCAGTTGCCCCGGTGACGTCGGGCTGATGGCGGAGTCCATGGACGTCATGTTCCTGGAGCGCGTGGGCTGGTGCAGGTACTGCTGGGCCCGCGCCGTCTTGTCGATGATGCCCATGAAGGGCGTGTTCCGAGAGCGGGTGGATTCCCCTGGATACTGGGAGGGAGAGATGGGGGACATGTCGTCACAGGAGCGCTCGTACGAGGCCTGCAGGGGGATCTCCATCTGCTGAATGGAGGAGGACGGCCTGAAGCCCGGCGCTAAGTTGGAGGTGGATCCAGTGGAGATGTTGTTGCTGGAGGGGGAGAACCGGAGGCCCACGCTCTGAGAGTGGATGAGGGGCCTCGGGGTGGGCACATGCGGCTTCATCTCAGTAGTATTGGCACTGACGGGGCGTCTCACCATGTGTGGGATCTCGGGGGAGCCCAGCTGGCAGGGGGGCATGACGTTGACCCGCTCCAGCACGTGTTCAGAGACAGGGTAGTAGGCAGCTGACTGGCTGCGGCTGATCTGAGGTGTTTGGCTGTAACGGATGCCCCCCGGGCCCCCGCTGCTGGCGCGGTAGGCAGAGGAGGGGCGCTGGGGTAGCTCATCCTTCAACAAGCCGGACTCCATAACCCCTCCTCGGCCCCCGTGCTGACAGAGGGCCCCAGAGCTGAGGCTGGCCTGAACCTGGGGCATGGACCGTCCATCCAGCGAGGGCTGGTACACCAACCTGCTCTCTACATCCACGGATCCCCCCTGGTAGCGGCCCCCCATGGAGTGGCCCATCTGACCGCTATACAGGCTGTTGCCCATCACACTGGGCTGGTTTGTGCGCACTATCTGGGCTATAGAAGGCTGGAGGCGGAGGCCCTGGGCCTGGTGGTGCTGGGAGGACAGGGAGGGCTGGGAGCTCAGCTGGAAGGACCGCTGGCTGCTCATCTTGGAGAGCGGGGACTTGGGCCGGCCCGGCAGCTGCTCCGTCTGGTAGCGCACAGGAGACCCGGACTGGGACCTGTACATACACACGCTCTCTACAGGCGGACTGGCTCTGTACTGAGCGGCCCGGCGGAGAGGGGAAGGCGGTGGGCTCTGGTGGTCCATCCCCTGACCCCCAGGACCCATAGAAGGCGGGCTGTAGCCGTACTGGTGCACCGGGGAGGTGTGGGGGGGGCTGTGCCGGTAGTGGTTCTGATGCGTCGGGGAGAGGGAGGGCGAGGTGGGGTTGTAGGAGCCGCGGGTTGGAGAGGACATGGAGGAGGAGGAGGTGGGGTGGTACTCGTAGGGCTGGCCCATGGGCGACCCCCCGGTCAGGTACATCTGATCTGGGTGTGTGGGGGAGAGCGGGGGGCTGTGGATGATGGGGAGGCTGGAGGGGTTGCTGTGGGACTCGGGTGGGGGCAGACACGCGGACATGGCCTCCAGCTCCTGCTCCAGGTAGTCCTCGTCCTCAAACAGGTCCTGGACGGGCTCCATGTCCTCCAGGCGCGGCTCGGGGGGAGGAGGAAGAGGCATGGACAGGCAGAGGGACAGGGACTCCTCGTCTTCGGGGGGAGGCGTAGGAGGAGGGGAGGGAGGGGGCTCCAGCTCCAGGGCCTGCTGCTGGTGCTCCTCCTGGCTCAGCATGTGGTACTCCTCCTCCACCCTCTGGAGCAGCCTCTGGATCTCTCGGTTGTTGGGGCACTGCCTCATGGCTTCATTCAGGTCCTCTAAGGCTTCAGGGAATTGTCTGAAAGGAGGATGAGGGTTAGTCTGGTGAAGAGAGTCAGAAACACTTCATCACAGCCTTCACTATTCCATGGTAACCAAGGAAAGAATAATATATACTGATTATAGGAAACGCTATATTTATATTGTTTACTATAAAACAAATAGTTTATTTAATTGATATTGTATCATAGCCGATAATACAAAATTAAAATGACATTACAGTAGTAAATCATTTATGAACAGTCTATTGTTGCACACATTAAAACATCTTATAAACCATACAAAGTATTAATGATAACCAAACGGTAAATAAACATTACATAAATGGACGGACCACACGCCAACAACTAACCTTTGATCAAATATTAACCATCAATTCAAACGTTTTTATAGAGGTTTTAAAGTACTTCTTAAAAGGTTTTCAAATCATATTATTAGTCATTAACTAAATGTAATATTGTGTATAAAAGTCATGATGTGAACAACAATAAACTGTTAATGAATGATAGCATTACTTATCATTAGTAAGCATGATAATTATGATTTAATAATGTAAATGACCATTTATTAATAATGGCTAGTTTAAACCATGATGTCTGATCGAGCTAAACATTGACATGCGAATTGAATGGAGCATATTGGAGTTTCAATAATATTGGAGTTTTTAATAATAAGCTGCAGAGACAAAATGTACTTCACAGAATATTTCACATACTGAATTGATCATGATGTGTGGAGGGATGAAAGGAGCGTACCTGCTGCTACGCTTGGCGCGTGCTCTGGCATAATATGCCTCATAGGATTTTGGTTTCAGTTCGAGTGCCTTTGTAGCAAATTCCTCAGCCATCCCAAAGTCCTGGAGAGATTCAAACAGCCAACACATATGAACACAAAGGAGAATATAAACGGTTGGTTTGCATACGATAACTCTCTCAAAAGCGAATCCTCTGGAGACTCACGTTCATTTTCCTCCGACATCGGGACAGGTTGAGGAAGAGCGATACTTTGAGTTCCCTGAACGTCTTGAGGTCCTCGCTGAAGCCTTCGCGTGGAAACTTTTTGAGGGCATACTGATAACGCTGCGCCGCCTCCTTCACCTTCCCCTTCTGTTGGACAAACAGAGAAGAAGTTTGATTATCCTCCCTTCACAGTGATATAAAATGATCAGAATATAGAGCAAAGCTAAGCAAAGACAGAGTAGTTATCATACAATTATCTTTCGGAATGGGAGTCAATCGCAGAGAAGGGATTCTTGATTTGTATCAGAATTACACATACGTTACACACAAGTACAAAAGTATGGGCTTCAAAATATACTTAAAAAACACAAATCTAAAGTACTTTAAGGGCAGTGATAGGTTCCTTTAATGTGGCAGCTTTTTTGGGGCTGTCTTTCTAAATATTACTAAAATAATGTATAATATTAAATTAAATTAAAAAAATCTAATGACTTTGACCCAAGCCCTTATTGCTCATAACAGTAAAACTAGGAGAAGTACACTATCCTAAAAAAGTGATTATACATCAAAATGTGTATGTTATTTTGATATTTCACATCATATCACATATTTATTTGATTCAATGCATGAAATGTGAGCTCCGGGGTCTCTGACCTTGTAGTAGCTGTCCCCCTCCTCGATGAGCTTGCTGAGTAAGATGATCATGATGTCGGGTTTGGAGGTGGCCATGGCCCACGTGGCTGGACCTGGGTAACACAGGGAGGAGCAGATGAAGACAGAAACACAGTGAGAGAGACACAGAGCAATGAGCGGGAGAGGAGGGGACACAGGAAGCAGCGACTGGGAGTCACACAACAACACAACAGTAAAAACAGGATGAGGAGGACAACAGCCAAGGTGGGAATGGACGAGGAGAAAAGACAGGCAATCCACTGCAGAAAGAGATCATAAAAACCTGCGCTGACACCTCGAGAACACTGACCTCGCAGCGGGACACCTGGCTTAAATACTATTTGCAGATAATGAGTGTTTATAAATTCTGCTGAAAGTTTATTGAGCTTAATTGAAGTGCAGAATGAGCACCTTTTGAATTGATGGTGGGCTAACTGTAGCAATTATTTGGAAATATGCTTTGGCCCAAGTAAAGTACAGTAAAAAGTAAATAACTAAAAACACTTTCATGTCTCTTTTTTAAAGATATAATTTCTGTTCAGTCAGACTCAGGGATGTGTTCAAGAACAGCAGGAACACTTTTGTTGTGTATTTAAAACGACAAAAAAGACAATTAAGCCAGCGGACTGTTTTGTGACTGGAAAATCAATAACACTTTCTATGATGCCCATTTCTGAAATGCATTAAAAACAAACTTATAGTGCGTTATTATATCAATGCTCATAGCACCGCATATATATCATCATGATTTATAACACATTACACAGAAGTGACATAATATTATATAAATGCTGGTCACTCACTGACATTTCAGATATTTATTTTTACTTAACTTGAAGCAAACAATAAAAGTGTACAACACGCATGAGATATAACACATATGTGTTTACCTAGGAATTTCATCCCCTCACTTAAAGCACCCACTGCTCATTCATATTAATTTATCATCACATTATAAATGTGATTATTATGTATCACAAAGACAATATAAAGAATAACAAACTATAATGATACTTGTTCTTATAGGTCATTCAAAATAGCTTTATGATGTGTTATAATAACTGTTCTAGAGCAGGTGTTATATTGAATATACAGAGCTATTGGCATATTAAAAAGCATTATAAATGTGTTTGAAGTGCATTTGAGGCTCGGCGTCAGGATAAGTGTTACTGAAGACGATCCCCTGACTGAAACTGATGTGCCTTTGGTGTATCTGCGCAACAGCAATCCTTGACACATGTACAGTACACACCAGAGAGGAAAAGGAAGGGGGATCTTGCACAAGGAGACACGGGGCAGGTACGATAAACAGAAAGAGCAAGCAGGAGGGAAACATCAGATCTCTGCACACTGTCCTCTGAGCTGGTGGTGGAGAGGAAACAGAAGAAATACAGAAAGGAGAAAGTCCAGAATAAAAGAAGAAAGAAGAAAAGAGAGAAGAGATTAAAAAGAGAAGAAAAAGAAGAGTACATAAAAGGTGAAGGTAGGAATTATGCTGACTGTCCTATCTGACTGAGGAAACTTCTGGAAGATGAACGATGCACCTCAGTCTGTGGTGCAGAGGCTCAACAGATACATGCATTTCCGCTAAATCACGACCACGCAAGAGTTACTGGGGGTGGGGGGGCTTTCCGTCATGCATCTGTGGGATGGAGGGTCGGCACCTCGACACGACGTCACAGGCTGGAGGCTGGGCATGCTGTCATTAACCACTCGGATGTTATAGCATCTACCTCTAGGCATCACTGTCAGTGCTAATACCTTTGCATGTTATTATTTGTCAGTTTGTGAAGGTTTTGGTAGCTAAGCTGGCCTGCCGACACTTAGCGACACAGACAACACAGAGAGAGGAGATAGAGCTGTCAAAATGCCTGGTGGGGTGAGAAGTCGACAGCCTTGGCTTTACCTCGGGGCCGACTGGGCAGCGTCTGACATCCTGGGGCCGGAGAGAGAGAGGCGGGGGATAGGGGGGATAGAAGGAGGAGGTCATGAGCAAAGGAAGGAGTGTAGGTGGCGAGGGGGGAGGGGGCAGAATTGCCAGAGAGAGAAACAGAGAGAAACAGCGAGGAGGTGAGAGAGGAAGAGAGGTGATGGCGGTGGTGGAGGAGGAGGAGAAGTGAGAAAAAAGGAACACAGAAAAAGCAGCAGTGAGAAGCGGAAAGATAAGTGACAAAAAAAGGGAGAAAGCAAAGTACAAAAAAGAAACATCGCAAGCGCTAATAACAACCTGTCTCCTAGCAACCGCAGAGGAAAAAAGAGAGAGGATGTGATTGAGAGAGGAGCCAAAGAGACAGAGAGAGAAACAACACAGCGGCAACAGTAGTACAATAAAAACACATCAGGGCCAGAAATAGCTGAGGAGAAGCAGCACGATGCGGCAGTGGGGGGGCGGATGGCATACAGTAGGCAGGAAGTGGTTAAAGCTACATGGATACACACACCTGAATCCATGGCAGTATGAAGCTACAGTGCTCTATAATGACCAGCAGGAGGTGTGTATTTAAAACAGAGCGCGTGTTCCACTTTGGATTCTCCCTTCATGCAGCTCATGCTCGAACTCCAATGCATGACCTTTTTCAAATACAATCTAGAATTGTATCTTATTTCACGGCAGGCAAATAACCTTAAATTGTGGCGCTACGGGATAATGATGCTGCGTTCAGAGGAGGCCCTTGCTGAGGCTCTTTACTCCGTCTACCTGCTCTTACCTATCTTAGCTCCTTTCTTGAGCAGGGCGACCACCACCGACGTGTTCCTGCAGCCCACCGCCCGGTCCAGGGGACGCATCCCGCTGTAGTCTACGTGCTCTATCAGGGCCCCGTGGTCCACCAAGAACTGGACCTGAGAACACAGAGGAGTGTGATGAGAACAGCAGGGGAGGAGGAATATATGTTTTTCTAAAAAACACAGGCAATCTTTCAAGAACTAATTCCTGTAAAAACAGTATGAATCTTAGAGATCATTCGATGCCAGCTTTTGGTATTTCATGGTCGGCCATAAACAAATTTCAGTCGATCACAAGAATCAAGATTACCTAAAAAAACGTTTTCAGTCCTATAAAGAGTTAAAAGACACTCAAATGTAATCTACTCCTTTCAATGAAAATCCAAAGACTACAATTATACACATATATATTTATTTATATTAAATATATTCAAATTCCAAACCCACTCCTACTTCGTGAACTCCGTCTGGAATCAAACTCAAAGCTGACTAAGGTTAAATACAGAGACAAGCTTTGGGATAAACTCCACTCATGGCAAAAACATGAACGTGAATGTCGTAAATGGCAGTAACAACGGTTTTTAAATCGTCATAATTCAGACGAAACATTTAAATATAAATGTCAGTAAGGAATTAGGGTCAGTAAGGAATTAGGTCTAAGGATCAATACCCTGCTGTTTCATTGGTTCATTTACTCTCTCTTACCACTTCCGAGTCGCCGTAGAAGGCGGCCAGGTCGAGGGGCGTGCGTCCGTTCTTGTCTGCGTGGTCGGTGGCCGCTCCGCTCTCCACCAGGCAGCGCACGGCGGGGAGATGTCCCTTCAGACAGGCCCAGCTCAGTGCTGTCAGACCCTCCTTATCCATCAGCGACAGAGAGGCTCCTGGGAAGTGAAGCGGCGCAGCAGTGAGACAAAGCCAGCCTCCATCACGCTGAACTCTTTTCAGAACTAAACGCTTCTTTCGGTTGGATTTAAAAAATGTGCTGCTGATTTAATTTGGCTGTGATTATTGTAAACATGGTTTCTAAAAAAGTAATTATGCTTATTTGTATTAGTGCAGTGCCTGAAATTATTTTCTATTAAGCACCACAGGGTGCACCAAGTTCAGCATGTGTTGATGTCTGTGTTTACAATGTTCTATTTGCACTGCGGTTTTATAATCATTGTAATTGTAAAAGTGTTGTAAAATATAAGGAGACAGCTCTTTTCTGTGCTCAGGAAAATCATATTTAAAAGATAAACGGATGCATTCGATTCAATTTGGGAACCTTTCATGTACTTGGAAAATGGCTATGAACTAGGAGGAAAAGTAACATTTTACTTCATTATGTATTTATTTATTCTAAATATTTTATTTTACATTTTTTGCTGTATCCCTTTGATTTAAATATGACATTATTGTATTTCTTTTAATTTAATAATGGACCAAAATATTATTAAAATAGTTATCTTTTCATGTTTTTTTAATTGTTTTTCCTTTTGTATTCCAATTTTAAAATGACACGAATAATATTTAATTAAATGTATACAACTCATACACTGAGACAGGAGATCTAAATCTTTTAAAAAGTATATATTTATTTTTTAAATGTTCTAAACCCAGGTTTAAATCTCATTCTTTAGACCCTTACCTTGCGATAGTAAGAACTCCACAGTGCCCAGGTGTCCCTCGGAGGCAGCCATCATTAGAGGAGTACGACCCTGCTTGTCTGCCAGGTTGACATCTGCTCCGTGTGTGAGGAGGAGGTCCACGATCTGAAAGCACCAAAACACATCACTCATGTCGTTAGTTAACATCAACAGGAGGGTTTGTGTTCCAGAGAACAAGAAATGACTATACTTTCATTGAATTCAAAGGACATAAGGCAAAAGGAGAGTTTCTGTTGCATCTTCACTGCCCTTTGGAGTAGGCCGGAGGAAGCCGAAGTTGAAATGGTGTTCAGTAAAATGCATCTATTATTGTTTTTTAAAGCTATTCCTAGTGGTAATAATGTCACAGCTTCACTTAGATAAACACATCTCACAAGTGCCTTCACAATTCAAAACCTGCCTCCTAAATATTCATCATAAAAAGCGATTTACAATCCTTATAAAATGCCTCATTAATAATACACTAAAACTACTTCAAAAAGAAATGAAAACCTGTTCAATAGTAAATAAATGCATCATTGATAATAAGGAAATGTTAATCAAAATGACAAAACATTGGATATTTGTTACTAAAATGATGGTAAATAAAGTTGCCTTTATAGCTAGGTTTCAGATTGATAAAAATCACCTTACACCAGGAAAGTTAAGATGAGTGACAGAATGAGAAGGGGAAGAGAGCAGGGTCACCCACCTGCCAGTGTCCCTGTCGGACGGCGCTGAACAGCGGGACGATGCCCCGTCTGTTGGGCTGGGCCACGGCAGCCCCCTGCTCCAGCAGCAGCCGACACACCTCCAGCTTCCCCCGACCCGAGGCCGCCGTCAGAGCTGTGAGTGACACGCACATAGTCAGGCATGGTGAATGTGGAGGATAACAATCTGATGCTTGAGTTATACACAGACATGATTTTCTTGTAATGTGTCAAATGTAAAGTCAAATATCCATGGTCATGCAGCTCTCTTTGATCTCTCCAAGCTCCTGCATGACATATCTGGCTCTATAGCAGCTTAATGCTCTAATTGGTTCACCTCCTGCTGAGATATTAGAGCTGTTTTTGCTATTGCTCCCAGAAATGTGAACCGAAGTTGTGTTCAGGGGACAATTCAACAACGGGCTGAAGCTTGATATAAAGCTCTGCAGTGCCGAAGGGAGCTTCAGATTGGTGGGGTTAATCTGTAGTTTCATACGTTGATACATGTTATAATCAAAAAATATAAATGATAGATGATAACAGTTTATACCCTTTGGGAAAACAGTGCATTTCAGGGATTCGTGTTAAAGTATTACTTTAGAGAAGAGGACAGATGAGAGGGGAGGAGAGAAGCCCCTGGAGAGTTTGTGGGAGCAAAGGCCTTTGAAAATACATCTTCTCAAAGTTAATGATTGTAATTGGAATAATTTAAGCAGAGCGAACACATCTCTTTAAAGCAGAGTGCTAGCAGCCCCAGAGGCTTGACCCCGGTTTCAACTATAGGCAGACCCATACTGGATTTTTCAGGCCGACACTGATATTTAAAAAATAATATATTGGCCAATTGTAAGTTATTTGAATAATACATTTGTAGAAAAACAACTAAAAGGGACATTTAATGGATCAAAAAACAGCTTGAGAGTTCTGTCTGGTGGAAAAACAACGACACTGTGACACTGGTTGCGAACGAGTAGTCTTTTCTTCATTATCTGAGTTAATGACTCAAGAGTATCTCAGTGGCAGCCATAATAAGAGCTCTAAATGCTAAGGAAAGGAGCTTCCATGCTAATCTTTCTTATCTACTGGACTATCGTAAACCATAGGATACATATTTTGTCATCCCACAATTCCTTGCAACATTTAAAGCGACGCACCATTTGGCCGTCAATCACATCTATCGTTGCTGTTTCATTGCACACTGTGGATAGAGTTGTATTATTTTGGAAAGGAATGTTGACTTTAATTGTACAGCATTAAGTATGTCACCGTACTCATTTCCTCTGTGTTTTAAATCAAGTTTAAAAAGCAACACCATGCAGTGCAATTCAGTTTGATTCTGAATGCAACATGGTTGTAAGTCATCATGAGTTCTCCTTCAGGGCTGTCCTTGACCTTGTGCTGTTTTCCATCAAGGTCAAAGAAGAGTAGTGAGTAAAAAGGACATGTTTTGTATACTGTTTGACTGCAGCTACTCATACTTTGGCATCAGTTCCACGTTAACCCAGATATACAAAGATATTGATATTTACCATGATATTTTATACACCCATATGCTCTTAGCTCAAGTTTAAACCTTTTTCTTCTTTGCTGGAAGATCGCTTTGACAGTTCAGTGAGTACATACATACTCTCCCTCCGGCTGTTTAAGAAGAACGTATTTTCAGTTGACCTATCCAACAACACTGGGCTTAAAAATCATCTTCCAGAACAATTGTTATCCTTCTGATCTGTTACAGGCAATGAAGCTACGGCTGAGTGAGTGCAGTCCGACAGCCTTTCTAACAGCTAGCGGGGGGAAATGCGCTCGATCAGGTTTCATCGCTTTAGGTAAAATGATACATCACATTTTTCAGCACCCTGCCACAGGGCAATCAGACTAGTCATTTCTAAGCGCCCTGGAGCACACTCCCCCCTCCGACCCCCCCCTCCTCCATGTGAGCCCAGCCCTGTCTGTGCTCCAATGACACCACTGCACTGTCATCAGCCTCTGACGCAGCACACACACAGGAGCGCTCTCTCATATCCGCACTGCAGCGCTCTGCCTCGCAGGAAAACCCTCTCACCAAACACTCCATGGATCCTTAAAAAACATGGTACAGACTACAGTGGATTTCCCCCTTTTCCCCCCCCACAGCTGCATGAACCATTCACACCCGTCTGTCTGGGCTTTATTGATGTGATGTCATGTCTGAGAGAGGGATCCTCACCTGTCTCCCCCCACAGGGTGTCAAAGTTATTGATCTGAGCTCGCTCCACCTCCTCTTCATCTTTCTCTGGCAGGTCCAGCAGGTAGGACACAATCTGAGGGGGGGGGAGGAGATGTCACATGACGCAGATTCATTTACACTAAATAGACTTAGATAAACATGTTGGACACAAAGAAAACGATTACAAAAATCAAACCACTCTAAGTCTACTTTTCTAATCTGAGGCTGAATTTAAGATGATTTTGTCAGAATGTCATAAAGGCACATACTATATGAACCTGAAGATGAGATTAATATATGCTCTTGAAAAATGCACCTATTGTCATGGGATAGTTAAAAAAAAAAAGCAATGCTTCGGTAGATTTCTTGCCTATTGTCATCTTCATGTGTCTTTGTCCACATAGCAGCTCCAACAGACTATATTAGGTCCAGTAAGTGCTCATGCCTGACCTTATTCTGTCCTTGCTTTAGCCTTTATAGAGCCAAGAGAAGTATGATTGACCACATAAGGATAATCAATTCCCCTCTCCTTTCATTGTCATCTTTACATCTTTACATCTCTGTATCTTCCTCTCCCTTCCACAATAATCCTGCTCTTTTCCCTTCACATATTCAAATTCCCTGGTGAGCAAAGGGCTGCATTACATTTTTAAAGTGCGTTCTCTCCAAACCTGCTTCAAAACTACTTCACTATGTAATTCGTCTCTAGTCCTGACACTCTGAACATTTAGTCACAAGTGTGTTTTAAAAATAAATTGTAGTAAAACATGTATTACAAGGAAACGCAATCCCACACATCTCTGCAATGTTTGAATGCATGTTTACACAGAGTAAAAGCTGTTGGAGGGGATGATGAGAGCAGTCTGTGGAGCAGGAGTGGTTTGTTTACTTTCAGCTCACGCACTCATCATCGTCAACATTTTAGTGCCGTCTGGTTCTTCTTACATCCCATTTTTAGTCCTGTGAACAGGACTCTGGTGGCTGTTCTGATATGGAAAACTGCAACATACTGCATAGTTAGCTAGAATGAGAAATGATACGTTTTGCCTGAATTTATAGCATTATTGAATATATTTCGATGACAACCTGGGAGTAATTGTGGTGCATAAAGCAACCGAATATCTTAAAAATAAGTTAATCTGGCTTTGAAATGTATCTTTTTTCCTCTGTAGCATCAAAACCGAGTATCATCTAGAAATGAAAGACAGAATATTGTAGATATTTGTGTTGGAGTCAAAGACACTAAAGGAAATAAAAACCATGACACTCCCTCCGTGCTGTACCTCTGTGTAACCCATGCTGGCTGCAGCGATGAGGGCTTGCTGGACGGCGTGGCTCTTGGTGAAGGTCGCCTGTTGTTGTGTTTGTGGCGGCCCCATGCTCCAGTCACACTGGATGAGGTACTTCACCACCTCCATGTGGCCCCTCAGGGCTGCATGAACCAGAGCGCACTGCCCGTTCTTATCCAGGTGGTCCACCTGTTAACAAACACAGAGCTATTTAGGAAAACAGATTGCATGGAAGATTGTAAAATGAGCTATAATTTAAAGCCCTTTCCCACATGCACAGTAGCCCTGGAAAAATGTAGACTAACACAGAGATCTCTATAAGATGTAAATGAACGGACAGGATATCAAACGCACATTGTCTGGAGTTCAAATGAGAAAACGGCTATTGAATCATAGGCTTAATCACACACTGAGAAAATCAATCTCTCCACACACCTTGGCTCTCTTGCGGCAGAGCACGGTCACGATGGCCATGTGTCCCCCAGCGGCGGCGTAGCCCAGAGGCATGAGGCCGCTTTCAGACGGAGCGTCGACCGAGGCGCCGTACTCCAGCAGCAGACCCACCATGTCCATGTAGCCCAGGTGGGAGTGGACACACAGCACGGGGGCGTTGTTCAGCACCTCCGTACGGTAGTTCACATTGCCCCCCCCCATCATCAGCAGCCGGCTCACCTGGATGGGAAAAAAAGGAAAAGATTACAGTAAATACAAATTAAACACAACAGGGATTCAAATATTGAAACTCTCACGATTAGTCAGTTAACAGAACAGAAAACTCCACCAATTCTGATAATCAATTCATTGATTGTAATTTTTTCACTATAGTGGCAGAATATTTGGTTTTTGCATTCACAAAATTCCAGCTTTACTCTATTGACATCAAATGAAATGCAATACAATGGGTTTGGACTGACAGCATCTTTTCTAAGTGTTCTTTAAAATCACTTCTCAAACCTTTCTTTTCATGTGATTTTATTTATATTTCATTACTTTCTGTTTGCTTTACTCTGTATGTACTCTGTTACTGTTTTACTTTTCATTTCAGTCTCTTTCTGTATTAAATGTCTTCTATTTTTTTTTTATGTGAAAGGACTTTGTAACTCTGTATGAAAGGAGCTATGTATATAAAGTTTATTTTATCATTTCGTTGTTGCAGCCATGGTACAAGAACAGGAAGTTCTTGGTAAAGCAGATTTGAAGAAGCAGTCTTGATCTGCTACCCAGAACATGTTTAAATATTCTGTAAGTATGTATTTTTTCTGCCATGTCAGCGCCTGTACCTTGATGTTGGGAGTGTAGAGGTTTCTCAGAGAAGAGAGCGCAGCAGAGAGACCCTCCGTGCTGTAGGAGACCCACAGGCCCTGCAAGATGGATGAGGAAACTCCCACTTTCTTGCTGAGACCCTTGAAGAGAGAAAGTGTAAATATTCATTACTTTTGCAGCCAGACCACAGCTGTGCGGGGGCTTGTGTGTGAGTGTGTGTAGATGTGTGTGCAGACAAATAATGGTATACCTTGAAGATATGTGCTTTGAGGATGTGATGGCCCAGCTCAATAGTCTGCTGTCGGTTCAGCTTGTTCTCCTGCCGAGAGAACCAGAAGGCCAGTAGGGTGTGACCGCTCCTGCAGAGAGGACACACAGAACCTTCAGTGCTGACTCATCAGGTCATTACATCACCTGCACAGCTGGTGCAGTCCAATTTCATTATAAAACAGGAATACAATGTTCCTGCACCTCCTTTCTGAGACAAACAGTGGACCTGTGGCTAACAAGGAGATTTGTATTCATGCACGAGTGATTGGACGACACAGTAATGGCCTTTAAAGTACATTTCAGCATGTTACACAAGAAACAGCAGCAAGTGGTTGTCAGGAAACTGATTATATTATATCATATTTCTGGTAAAAGACGAATAGTTACAGGGTGGGGTAGTCTGTAGCTTAAAATCATTGTATTACCAAATCAATTAGAGGTGCAGTGATGAGTTGATTTGCGTAAAGTTAATTGATCATTATAATTGATTCATTCTTAAAGGAATTGTTCATGTAAAAAATATAAAAAATGCTGTTTTCATCATTGCTCTGGATATAAGACTTTGGATCGACATTTTGCCTTATATTCTGACATTTTATAAACCAAACATTTAATATAGAAAACAATCGTCACATTATAAGTTGAGGCTCTAAGATAAATATACTTTAAAATCAAACCATTCTCTATCTTGGAAACAGCTGAGATTTGTTGATTCTATCACATAGTGCACATTTTGCAGCAGTATATAAACATAATATCTATAACCAATGATTCAATCCATGGTTTGTATTCACCTCCTATTAGAAAACCTGCAACATGTGGGGACTGCAAATGTTCACCCTGCAAAAACCTTGTTTCCTGACATGATGACAAATCAACAGAAATACTGTTTTCTGGGTCACTCCATTTGTTCCATCCCACCCTGATCCCATCCTGTTTTCAGGCGATAACATTTAAGACCTCTTTCTATTCATTCAGTACGATCACTTGGAGCCCCGCCCTCCTGTCGGTCCTCACCTCGGATCGCAGAGGAACTTTGTCTTCTCTCCTTCTTCTCTCCAGATGAGCCACTCCCTGAAGGACGGGTGAACAAACATCCTGGTGCCGTCCCTCCTCTTCACCAGGAACACTGACAGGTTGTCTACACGCTGCATGAAGTCTTCCCAGTCCAGCGTGCCCTGCAGATACACACACATCGTTTCCATATGGTAAGAGTGCTCAGGCACTGATGTTTGTAAGAGTGGAACAAACATTGTAGAATGCTTTTGGAAGTTCCATTTCTTTAATAACAAATGTAATATTGGGTAGATATATTCAACAATTCCCCTTGGGTTAAGAAATGTTACTTTTGTTTTTCTTACCTTATATTTAGACGTTTATGAACACAGAATGAAAACAAAACAATAATGAGATATATAGATGTTGCTCAGTTCATCAAAATGAAGACCTCCATTGCCTAACTCACAAAATGTTTTAAATAAATAAAAAGGCTTCTCTTTTTCTTTAAAATGTTAAAGCCTCTGAATGGCTTAATAGTCAAAGAAGTAAAAATCAACAAGTTATAATAATAAATAAGGATATATAATATAAGATATTTCATAATTCTAATCAAAGATAATTAGCCTCATCAGAATATATGGTTTTGCCAGAACAATGACGATTACAATTTTGAGTAGACTATTGCTAAAACTTGATTTTGAAGTCACCCTTTTTTCCAGCTAAACCGCGCCCACTTCAGAGAGAAACGTAAAGACACGTAATGCAAAATATCCAAAACTCATATGCCTTCTGGATTTGGAAGGAAATAGTGAGTTTATGTCGGACCCCATCACTCATCGTGAAAGCTGCTTGGAAAAAAACGTTTTCAGGGCCTTAAAGATAAACTGGCTTTGTGAAATATATTCAATAACGTGCCAAGACATGTTCAATTACTCATTCATTTCAGCTCAGTATAACCGAGGATAAGCTTCAGCAGACTATATTACTGGAACACAGAGGCTGTGTTATAATACATCACTGTCATTGAAGACCTTTCGATGTATACAAAGTTCTCCTCGTCTGAAGTCTTGTATATTTTAGGGTGGTTACCTGCAGCGAGCCAGCGTTGATGGCCTGATAAATCTGCTCATCGGTGAGCGGGTGCAGCGAGGCCACGGCCACATTGAGCAGAGGAAGTGCCCTCTCAAACGATGACTGTGTTGGGAAGCGCATGTTGCACTGCAGCAGGTAAACCTCCGCCAGGTTGACTGGAACCACCTGAGGAGGAAGAGGAAGGGAAGGAAAGGGAATATGAAGCGGAATGATCCTCTTCCTGTGGAGCAGCTCTTCTGGAAATAAATAATGCATCATGTTTGTTCAGCGCGTCTTCAGCTATTCTACGTTGTCTTCCTCAGAGGGGGAGAGAGTAATATTATACTTTGTCATATTTTATGGAGTGTGGGAGCACTTCTGAATACATGAAATGAAATGAACCTGGGGCTGTGAGATAAAATATTTCATAAGGAAATGCTCGCTAAAACATAATTTAGCAAAAAGGTGCTGGGTTCCAACTGTCAGAAATACTTTAAAAAACAATTTCCGCACAAAGCATGCCAGCGTTGAGGTAAATAAAAAATGCCATTACATTATTAAATTATGAGCACCGAGATATTTAAAATAACCCCAACAACCCCTCTCCTTTCTTCCATTTTGCATTTGATTCAGTGTGTTATGCAGTGGGATACACTTTCAGTCCTTATAGTTGTTATAGCTTATATTCTCATTATCTGTTACTTTTTTACATATTGGCACCAGTAAAAGTATGCCAAATGATTCATCAGCAGATCCTGTTTACAGTGTATCCATTCATTTGGAGACATATTCAATTGGATGACTTGGATGCTGGAGAAAACATAAAAACATCATGATTCTCAGGTAACTTCTGGAGTTTAAAGACGCACCTGTAATTTTTAAATAGATGTATTGAGTGTTAATGGACAACGCTGAAAATAACAATGTGTATCATGTCTGTGTGTTCAGATTTGAGTGAGTTATGACTCACTAAATAATATGATTTCCAACTCCTTTTAACCCTCCCATCATCCATTAGTCAAGCTATTTATAGTCTATGGTGAAGACACTGACAACCTTCTCCTTACCTTATAGCTGGAGCTTTTGAGAACAAGGTAGCCCTTCTCGATGAGGTCAAAGGTGAGCTTGAGGTACAGGAAGGAGCCCTGGCTCAGGGCCTTGAGGTGGGCGCTGAGCTTGCCGAAGGTGGTGTTGTCCATCTTGCCGTTGAGCGAGATGTTGTTCTGAATCTCGGGGCTGCTGTGGATGCGGTGCAGGATGTAGCCCTGCAGGTCCTGGTCTATGGCGTCGTTCTCCTCCAGGCCGTCCAGAGAGATGCGGTGGAACGGCAGCGCGTTGGTGATCTCCTGAACAGGCAGTAACTTAGTGATAAAGGTGCAGAAACATCTTGATAAATTCTCTGCACACTTAAAGGGGCCCTATACAGTATTATGCATTTGGTTTTCTCTTTTCTGTAGTGTGTTATATAGGATTTTGGTTCAAAGGTTAAAACCCCTAAGTTCATTCCAGTCCTACACACTCCCCCCCTCCCCGAAACGCCTCGATTGGACACATTTGTTTACTTCAGCGACCGAGTGACATCAGTTTATAACACTCGCGCTTCTATTGGCTAGCTCTCCAACACATTGTATGCGATAGGCTAAGGGGCGGGACTTATCCAAGCACCAATCAAAAAAGAGCCGGCCAGCTAACAGACTGGGCTCTGGTTTCAGACAGAGGGTGAAAAGAGGTGCTGCAGCACAGACAGCATGAGAAAAATAAAGGGCCTTTTTGAACATTAAAGCATGGAGACATGTCTCAGTAGAGGCAGAAAATACAAATATGAAACCTGAACATTAGCATAAAATAACTAGATAACAAACAGAAAGTATAAAATGCTAGGAAAAACAACTCTACATCTGTGTTCCTCATAAATGAAAGGTAAGGATTCAGATTTTAAAAAATATTATTTTTCACATCCTCTGCATAACAGAGGTAAAACAGAAGGGTTAGAGATAAAGACGGTAGAGTTGTCAGTGTCCTGTAGTTGAAAATAACCGGACATTTATTTCACGCCCCTTTGCTGAATTTAAAAATGAAACCTTTTCAAGGAGCTTTAACATGAAACTGCAGATACAAACAGTGGGAAACATTTCTGAAAAATGTCCTTTACCTGTAGCGTGGTTCTGACTGTGACCACCAGTTTTAGCCAGGGAGGGAACTTGTTGATGGTTTTGGAGAGAAAGGACACGATGGTGTCTCCGTAGTCCGGCTTGTGAAACTCTGCCTCATTCAGACCGTCTATGAGGATGATGAGGTCCTCTTCAGAGTTGATCTTCCTCTCTGAAAAAGAGCAGTCATCATTAAAAAAAGATATAGAGACAGACTGTAATGAAACACCCATCCGCCTGAAGGACATTCATATTTGACATGGAAACAAAACATCTCAACACAATGTCCTTGATGTTTCCAGAGCTTTGAAGCTCATTTTGGTTAAATAAGTTAGCTTCAGTACTTTGATCGTTATTATATTGAGCACATTGTGCAAAAGAAGCCTCTAACATCAAGCACCAAGGATTCAAGTCAAATAATACATCGAATGCTGAGGTCTGAAGAGGCATTCATTACAATTTGCCCAAAGCAATATGTTGGATTACAAGTCAAGTTTATGCATTGAACCAGAGAAAATAAATGAAGGTTTATTAGCAACTGAACAAAAAGACCAAATTATTTTGGTTAACCAAATGAATAAGGATTAAATATGGGCTTACTGAATATGACTTCATATAATAAGTAAACCCAGAATATATATACAATGTGGTCATTGTATGCCTTCAAGCTCAGCAAGAAGGTACTTTCGTTCAAAAATCAGCTCATAGAATAAAGTAAACGGCATATATTGAACACTTAAGCTTGACAGACTTATCAACTATAGAAATCTTCATCAACCATAAACAAAACAACCATTGACTAATCAACTAATGCAGCCCTGTGTCTCACCTTTGTAAAGTGTATCCAGGGGCTCTAGCACCCCCCTCCTGAAGGAGGCCAGGGGGTCCTGGACGCAGGAGCGCAGGCTGAGGATGCTCTGTAGGTGCGGCTCCCTCAGCATCTGCTCCCTGTAGGCCACGAGGTGCGGCGAGCGGCACAGCAGAGCCGCCACGTTGTGCACGAACTCAGGCACCAAGCAGGTGTAGGCGTTATCTGCCTGGCAGTAGTGGTACGCCACCACCTGGGGGCGACAGAGAGTTGGGACAAGATGCAGCCTCGGTCACTAAGAGAAATATAAAAGGTGAACTCTGGAAATCCAACCTCTGGGTATTGCACATCTGAGATCAGTGCCAGGGAGCATGGGAGTCAGATGACACAATTTTAAGAAATAACATTTCTTCCACAGCTCCGTCAGAGTAGAGACAGTTTTGTATTAAAGCTACAACTCATTTGGGATTGAGTCAACTTCGTGGTGGATGATTGCAGTATAATGAAACATAATACTTGTGGTTTCACTGTACGGTTTTAGATATTAATAATTCATCGCTTCCGGCTGCCGAGAGAGACTGATTCAGGAGGAGTTCGCTTGTGTGTTCTCATGTGTTACATGACTGTGGCAAAGTGTTAAACTGTCATATTTCACAGTCATGTACTTGAAACACGTCTATGATTAATGAATGGACGGATGAATAACAAGTATTTGCACGGACATGCAGTGGCATTAGAAAATAGCTGAGGGCAGGTACGTTTTCTGTCAACACAACAATGGAAGCAGGAGCGACTGAGAGCTACTCGGGACTAAAGGGTCACACAAATATTCAGAGACGGGGGCAGCGATGAGAGGGCGGTGAGACTAATCAAAATGGAATGCACATTTTTGGTCACAATAGGAGAAAGGGATTTTAACAAAAAGGGTGAAAAAGGGAGCGAGCTTAATTATTAATGCACAAGTTAACAAGATCTAATAGCCTGGCTGGGAAATGGCTTTCTGCAGGTATACATATTTCATAAGGCTCCCTGGCAAAGTTGTTTTTTCTTTTTAAAACACATCTGCATAATGCATCAGGCTGGGATCGGGATGCAGATGGCTAAGCAGCAGGGGAGGGGGACAGAGGTGCGACAGCAGACAGGAAGAAGTGCGGGAAACGGAGAGGGTTTCACACATCATACAGGTTTACGAGGCAGGCAGGTGAAAACTAGTTAAATACTCCAGAAATATTGTTTTAAAGTCAAGATTCTACAGTAAAAAGAGCGCTGTGTGAGTCCATGAGAGCTTGAAGGTGGCATAAAAGGTGTCAGTGCTTATATTTTGTATAAAAGCTACTCATTGGCTTTTCTGCCACATCTGCTGTCACTAATTGAAAGATTAAGACATTAAAAGGAGCCTTTTAAGATGCCGTTTTTAAATTACACACAGACTGAGGCCTAATATTTCACGCTGAACCACAATAACAATGGAAAAGTACTATTATAATACATATGCCCATTTTAGCGATGCGGAGATATTTCTTCTAAATAATCATGTATGCAGTTCTAGTCTTTGATGAAGAGAAGATGAAAGAAAGAACTGACAAAACCGCGGTATGCAAATGAACCCCGGACGAAATGTTTGACAATTCAGTTTTTTCCTTTTTATACAGGTCTGAAAAGTAAAGGGGAACTGGAGGTGTGGGAAGATAGAAATGTTCGTAAGTGACTCGGGCTCACACACGTAATAGTGATATAGGGCCATCAATTAGGAGCTGGAAATGTCATATTCAAATCATTACAAGCAGACTTATTTTCATTCAGAGCAAATGAATGAGTAATAAATCATCTGCATTTGTAAAAGAAGCCAATGGGTGTAGAAGAAGTATGTATGTATAAAGACAAACATTGTTTTGGAAGTCTTCTTTAGTCTGTAAATAAGGCCAAGATGTAAAAGTCATGGTCACAGGTGTATGTGTTACCTGTGACGCCAGCCTCCTCATGCCTTCTTCCTGACGTCGCCTCATCTCGGGGGTCCCGGGACAGCTGCCTCCTCCCAGGGTGCCGTGCGTGGGCTGAGGCTGGGTGAGAGGGAGCCCCTCTCCATCTGGACACAGCACAACACACTCAGGGACGACTCTAACACGTGGCACAGTCGGGCCATCTTTTCACACTGGAGTCTCAAAACAAATGCTGGAGTCGGATTATGCAGCATTTAAAAAATACTATCATTTAAAGATGGAGTTCAGGAAAGACCATTCATCAAATTGCCATCTTCACTGATCATTAAAAACACTAGAGAAGGGAATAAAGGCCAGGCAGAAAAGGGAAAGACATATATTTATATCAATAATCTCAGTATCAATAACATATGCTCTCACGCTATGGTTTTCCTGCTATGGTTTTCCTTAAAACCCTTCCAAAAAACAAACTTGGAAATCGTATCTCCCAAAAAATGGAAGCTTACGTTTGGGTGAGTTCTGAGGGCTGTCGGAGGCTATCTGTCTCATGCGGGTGCCGTGGCAGCTGAGTGCCACCAGGCGAGAGATGATGGCGGTCTTGCCGAAGCCGATGTTGCCCACGACCGCCACGCCGCGGTTGGTGCTGGCGTTGGGGCTGTTGAGGTGCGCGTCGATCTCCTGGAACAGCCACTCCCGGCCTGTGAAGACCGAGTCCATGGTGATGCTGGGCACCTCGAACAGCAACGGTTTGAGGGCGATGTCTTGAGGCCGATACGGTGCAAAACGCACTGAAGGGTCAGGGAAACAGAGGATTACAGTTATAAACCACATTTATGTACTTAATCTCCCCCGCTGCAGTATTGCATCTGGAGATTGAATTAGAAAAAGTCCCTATACCAACATGCTAATAATACTCATAGGTGCATACATACTATATATGATTATCACAATATATAAACACATAAACAGCCACATATTAGCATAAACAAGTAACAAGTACCAGTATTGGGAGTATTTCTCAAATACAATAAATATTTGTTGGATGCTAATTGTTTGATTATTGAATTCATATTTTACTCATTAAAATAATGTGAGATACATGTGTTCATGAATAAATGTAATTATAGTTTAAAATCTAAAAGGAAAACAATAATATTTATGTAGTAAAACATTAAAGAACGACATCACTGCATTTTTTTAATAACCTACAGGAAAGTGCTGATTCTTTGATTACATATATACAAATTAGAAAATGATTCAAAGTTATATTAATGTGCTTTAGGATTCTGTGGATAAATACGCTAGGTTGGTTAAATGAGAGGATGTTCGGGAGATAAAAAGCATTCAGTATAATATTTTATTATAAAAAAGTATAAAATAATATCTTAACAATCCAGAATTGTTTTGCTTTTAGTGCAACAAGTCCAGGGAGCAACTACTTTAAGTGCCAATCTAGAACTTTGATTTTCCTTACTGGGGGAGTTATTAAACGGAAGTCCTCCAGAGGTTAGGCCTCCTTTCAACAGCACATATGGACCATTAAGGACTAATGGGGGTAAAATGAATCTGGTACTAACTTGTCAAGTAGTGTGAACAATTCAATGGACAATTTAGTGTGCTGTTCCTGGGTGTCACCTCCTGGGTCCAGTGTTATAAAACTGATTTAAGCTTGGAGACTAGACTTATCGTCTCATGTTCTATCTGGTGTGTGATTCATATCTGTTATAACTCAGCATCTGGCCATTACACCTGATTGGGGAATTTGTACGTGAATAATCAAAACACTTTCCTGGCAAGAGCTTGTGCCGCTTTGACTCGTAATGCAAGCTTACCGGCAACAGTGAGCAAATTAAAATTAAAGTAACTTACGTGACTGGGATTGCCAGGCATGGGTGTTATTAGCGGAAGCTGAGACGAACAGCAAGCCAAAGACAGAGACAGAAACACAGGAAGTGGAAGAGGTGATGAGGGAGGAGAGGGAGAAAGAGAGAGAGACAGTGAGCAATGGGAACAGGGCAGCAGTTTATCAAAGCACAAGGTTAGCTGTAGCTCAATGAAATCATCACATGATGTCAGGAACATGGGCAACCACCAGACCGGGGTCGATTACTAATTGAAATCCTTTGAATTACGTCGAGAGGTATAGTTGGGGAAGGATCGCACTTTTGGGAGAATCTAATTGGTTCCATTGCGCCGGACAAGATCAATCAATCCCCATAAAAATAATTGAATCCAGGACTAGCAGTAATTCGACCTTGCGATGAGGGACTCCCACCTCAACTCAGCAGACCACTGTTTGTGAATTACAGGCTGCTACGTCTTCACATAAAGAAATCAAACAGTACAAGAGACATTTTGGAAAATGAAATAAAAAATGGATTTGCAACTTTTGTTTCCTTATGTTTCCTGCATTTGATCAGGGTGCTGCTGGTTGGATGTGCCAGTGCATCCTTTTTTCTTTACACTAGCAAAAGCCTACTGAGAGTCCAAGCTGTAGGAATTATATATCAGACTTGTCAGATAAGATGTTTGGATCTTGTCGATTTTTTTGTGTTTCAGCATATATTTATATAATAAAGGTTGCAGGTACAGTAATGCAAAATACATCAGGGGGCAAGGGTGTATTTCCCCTGTAAATGAGTCCAATTTGCATTTTGTTTACACAACATAATGAGCTGAAATTGTATTGTAATCTTCTTCAAGACACGTTCCAAAGTGCTGTTGCAAGCATGACTTTTTTTTCTCCCAGGAATGCTAATTGTAACCGCAGAGTGAGAAAGAAATGTGCTGATCATGCTGAAGATATTCTTACTTATGCAAACAGCAGAAAAATGTACACACAGATATACGGAGGAGTGGATGTAAAGCTATCATCGCTTTATACTGAAAGGACAGCTAGCACTGCACAAACATACACACACACATACCATGTATACATCACTTCAGGGGACATTACATTGACTTACATGCATTTCCTGGAGACTTATCCTAACCTTAACCATAACCAATACATGCCTAACCCTAACCCTAAACCTAACCAAGTCTTCACCCTAAAATTAATGATTCCCCTCATGGGGACCTCCATTTTGTCCCCATAAGGGAGGCGAGTCCCCACACGTGACTATGTAAACAGATGTAGGTCCCCACAAGTATAGTAATGCTAGAACACACACACACACACACACACACACACACACACACACACACACACACACACACACACACACACACACACACACACACACACACACACACACACACACACACACACACACACACACACACACACACACACACACACACACACACACACACACACACACACACACACACACACACACACACACACACACACACACCACACACACACACACACACACACACACACACACACACACACACACACACAGAGAGATTCTCTAAGATGCAAATAGCACTACTCTATTCAGTCTATAATTCACAAACTGATGTAATATCCTTCCAGTTGGGTGTCACGCCGTGAAAGAATGGACCTGATGCAACACTGGTGATGGGCAGTGCAAAAACGACCCACTGCCGCCATTAAAAACACTATAGGCCTGCAGGAGTGAGAGGCTAACATCTTCTCTGTTTTAAGAGCTGCTAATCCAATTATCGTGGGGGTGAATGAATGCCCGTAAAGTTATTCCGTCCATGTGGATTTACTAAACGCACCCTCGTACTATCGGGCGCCATCCTCCAAATGGCAGAAACGATTAAACATTAACACGCTTAAGTCGTGCCGCCACCGCTGCTCCACTGTATCAGGTATTCTAGGAAAACATGGCAGCCATGTTGTCAACGGGGGCTGAGGGAGTTGTTTTCCAGGATGGAGAAAGCTAAAAAGTGTGTGCGAGGGATGGATGGCAGTGGCTCATAATCCTGCTCATAACACTTCCCCCCTACTCAGGTGAAGTTAAGCGAGGTATCACTCCACTACAGCAAACCCTCCACGGCCAGACGGAGCGAGAGTCTCAGACGTTTTAATTATTCACCAGGTGAGGATGACTCACGGTGGCTGAGCAGCGCTACGAAGGAGGGAGAAGAGGAGGAGAAGCAGAGGAGGAGAGGAAGAGATGGGAGGAAAAGATGGGAGGAAGAGAGGAAGCAATGGGAGGAGAGGTGTAAATGATCCGTCTGCTTGTTGTTACTGGTCCGGGGAGTGTGGTTCTATCGTGTCAGGTGACTCTTCTTATGGCACGCGTGGGAGTTAGTGGATGTGTGAGTTTGCTGTCTGGTTTTTCAGACCTATAGTTACAATTCCAGTCATTTCTCCTCTAGCAGCGGATGGCTAGAGGAGACAGGATCTTACATAATTTCTCAACAAAAAAAAAATCTTATGTAATTTGAACAAAAGGCTTAGAACAGCACCATAAATCTGGAAGCGCCTATACATGATGGATTTCTTCAGAATGTGCTCTAATCTTCCTTATGGATGCAAACTGTCACATATTGTTTCCTTGCTGGCAGAATATTTACTGACTTACTTAGGCTTTTAAGACAAGCACAAAGGAAGTATGTCAATATGTTATATAAGAAGGACACCTCTTAATATAACCTCAAAACATTGATTTGAGATTGCTCAACATAAACATTTGTTATCAGCTTAAAGGCAAGAGGTTAATTCAGAGTTGTAGAACAGTAAGAATAAGTGAATCTCCAGAGGCTTGAATATCATCTGAAAAGCTTCAGTTGTTGTGTTGCAAACATGTTCTTGCACTGTCATCACATCTGCACTAGTTATCAGCAATAGGGGCTCCCTTTAATCTGTGTTTGCTATACATAAACTGTACTTACTCTGTATTTCAAATGAATGTTGACATGCAGCTGTCTTATTTTCTACGGATGTTCATTCAGACAATTATTAAAAATGTTTCCAAAGAATGTGACTCAAACCATTTGTTTTGGAGTATTTTCAGCTGCGGATTAACACATGTGGTGCTTTAGTCAATATTTACAGCAGCAGGATGTTGTGCGAACGACTAGGAATAAACCAAATTCCCACGGCGATATCATATATAACCAAGCTTTGCATAGACACAGACACTTTTAGTTAGCGCCATAAATTCACTTTTGGCATTTTCACTGGATTTTTTGACAATAAGAAAAATATCTCCAACTTTACCCTTTAAATATCTAATCAATTACAGCGCTACCGAGAATTTCCAACACTTATTATTTAAGTTGCTTCGGCTGTCAGTGCTTATTTATGAGAGTAATAAAACCCACTGCAGTTGAAAATATTTGTATCATCCGAAATCTGCAACCATCAGCTCACACAAGGCCTGTTTTGTGTATGAAAGCAGTGAAAGAGAGACGAAGAGTGGGAGAAGGTGAAGATAAACGAGGGAGAGAGTGTGTGTGCAGCGAACAATTATGTGAGAGTTTGCGGTGAATAGATAAGGTGGGTGGTAAATCTTAGAGGTAGGCAGGCAGGAGCACAAGAAGGTCCGTAACAGTCTGACTCACTCTGCTCAAAACAGCAGCACGGCTCGGGCCCCCGATGGCCGGCATCAAAAGAAGCTTCGACAAAAACAAACTGGTAGGAAGATACATATGTCAGCTGGTTAGCACCTGACTTACACAAAACCAGTCTACTTCTCCTCTAGTTCATCTGAAACTCTGCATCCAGCATCTCAATCAAAACAACCAGCAGGTCTCTTTCTGTGATGCACAACAGGTTTAAATAACTGCTTCCTGTGGCTTTATGCGCTCAATAATATAATAAATACAGGCAGTAAAAGCTACTGCGTCTGTACCGAACACTTTGAAGATGAATTCATAACATTGGTATTTGAAATCTAACATTCAAATGCAGCGCTTGCATGTCTAATCATTCTATACCCAATACTTCTGTAAAGTTTGAGATTAATATTTGGGCTCGGTTATATTATCAGTATTACACGGTTTGTGGAATTAGATACCAGTGGTGGCTGCTGAGGGTTTATTCCGACTCTTGTGATCGAAACAATGTTTGTAAAGAGTGTTGTAAAGTCCAAAAGTAAACATTTATTTAATAGAAAATAGAGGTTATCATTTCCACAAAAATGTTTAGACATGATTACATACGAGGAGAGGAGAGTGGCTGGTCCAAGGTAGCTTGAGCCAGCCCTAACTTAAGCCTACTCTCAAATGTGGAAAGAATGCTTGCTTCCCACCTACATGAACAGAATAACATATTTAGAGAGTGGGCAACACGCAGGTGTGGATGACAAAATCTCAACTTTTTTTTAAATCTGAGAAAATATTCTATTCTATTCAATCGATATTGGCTGCCGTTTAGCCTCTCATAACACAGACATTTTCCAATGTATGTAGGTTTTACATTGAAAATCATATTAGATTTTTTAAGAGATCCGTAATCTATTATGGAAAATGTCCTCTTTCATGTATTTTTTCACATCCATTTTCACATGTATCGCTAGATTGTTAAGACATTTCAAAAGTTTAGGAAGAAAGTAAACTAATCCATCATTTAGGGATTCCCTATCTATTAAGTCTATAACCTCACATTTCAGGAATAAAGGTATTTGGAATGTGTCCTCGTATGATCTGCCGGGAAAACCCCTGTTCTTGGTGTCTCTTGCCGTGTCTCCCTCTGTCTTGTTCTCGTGTCTCCTGGTGAATCTGCCGGAGCAGTGCACTCAGGGAGGCTCTGACACTGATCCGACGAGGCATGCTAGGACGCAGTCGGTTAGCTTGTAAACACACTTGGCTGCCCTCAGAGGAGGAAGGTTGGGGAACAACCACTGATACAGCGACGCCTTAAGAGAAAACTACCCCGTCTTCCCTTTCTCTGTCAGCTCCATCTTTCTCCCTACCTTCTCTCTTTTCTTCCCATCTGTAGACAGGAATCACATCCCAGCTCAGCAGAGCGCACTCTCAGCTAAGTGGGGTCTTAACAGGTGTTTAAAACACACAGGGGGGCATATTTGTGTTCGCTTGAAGGGCAGAGGGTTGCCATTACGCTGTTCATTACTGGCGAAGTGACAGAAGAAGAAGAGGCGAGGGGACAAATAATGTTGTGACATAAGGCCATTCGGTCCTTTGATTAGGAGGATGTGGAGATTTGCTGGATCACGGAGGGCGCTGGCTGTGTGATAGGCTTGAACAGTGTGCAGTGGGGTGGACGCCACACACACACACACACACACACACACACACACACACACACACACACACACACACACACACACACACACACACACACACACACACACACACACACACACACACACACACACACACACACACACACACAACACACACACACACACACACACACACACACACACACACACACACACACACACACACACACACACACACACACACACACACACACTAGTTTCTAAAACGCACAGCATGGAAGAGTCACTGATCTAGTTTCAGAGCAGAGCTATATACTGTATGCAGACTTTAGCATCTGAAGCGCATGGCAAACTGCAAATCCACCGTCCCTTTTCTGGAATATATGAAAATAACTTGTTCGTCACGCAGCTTTCGTCTCGCGATGCTCAGCTGCTTTGAGTTTGTTGTTGGCGGATGAAAAACAGAATAGTGTGTTATTGTTCGCTCCTGTGTCTGATGTGAAACTAATCGCTAATGGCAGCCAAACCTTAAACAAAGCAGCTTTTTTGAAAGAGACAGAAAAGTATGGTTGTAGGTTTAAAACTTTTACCAACAGCTAGCATTTACTGTTTTTTTTACAACTCTTTTTCACATTTTATGTCAAAATGTGCAGCTTTCATGGACACAAGGTTAAAGGACAGTGATTTTTTTGTGTGTGCTCACCTCTCAGGTCCTGCCCGGAGCGACCCGGCCCGCAGGTGGTGCTCTGTCTGGGCATGCGCAGCGAGGTGCGTAATGGAGTGTGTCTCTGCTCATCCAGGTATGCCAGGTCCTCCAGGTGGGCTGAACTGGTAGCTGTTGTTGCATATATTTGATAGAAGACAGGGAAAGTATTTCAGAGAAAGAGGGGGGAAAAGATACTATTGTCAACATGTGTATGTACATTGAGAGACACTTACAGTCAACAAGCACTACAAATAAAGACAAAAGAAGGTTGTACTGGTTCATGCCAGTGTCTTGAGGCAGTTGTCAGGCTCCCGCGCTCACACTTGCTAACTCCAACAGGAAGGAGCAAGCCAGCCCTACATGGTGCTGTCCTAAAAACTCCCTCCTCTCAGTGTCTGTCACGCGGCACGGAGGCAGATGCCATCCGGCCCCTCTCAGGATTAATTAGCTCAGCAGACAAATGTCTTATTCATGGAGTGAGCTCCGTCTGACGCTGGCTGCTGATTGTTCACACCATGCTGCGTCTTCGGGGGCCAACGCTCGTAACCAGTGAATGTTAAATGAGGATAGACCCCGTCACCAGTGTGAGTAAACAACGGAACCCGATTCTCCGTCACACCTGAACCCCAGATAAAGGGGCGGGAGTGAAAGAGAAAATAAATAATCTGTTAGAGATGTATTAAATGGCCAGCAGCTGATTGGTCCGCAGCTGTTTTATTTAGCAAAAACGCATAAGGGACAAGTTTCGGGGAAGCCATGCTTGATGTAGCAGCTCTGAATACTAACTTTTGGAGAATTTAAATCTCTTTTTGGCAGATATACAGGTACCATCTTTTTTACTTGGTGGTTTGCTGTAAACCAAATGTCTCTCTGTGACAATAAAGATGAACTTAAGCCATACAAATAAATTCAGGAGATTAAGGGACTGAGGTGACCAAGCTGCCAAGTCACAACATCAAGCGGAGACACTGTCATTGACAGAGCAGTTTGTTTGTTTTTAAAATGAGCCAAAAAGTGCTACAACAGGAAACTGGTTAGAATAAACTCTAGTCATGCAGTGATAATGGAAAACCTAAGAAGAGGCTGATAAAGGAGAAAATATAAGAGACACTATATTATCCACAAAGTAGTAATTTGGGAAAATATTCTGTGTAACACTTTTCTGGGAACCTAGCCAGTGTTTTTCTATGGTAATTCTACTTTATTTAAATTGGGTTGGAATTCGTAGATGTTTCCTTAGTGGTTATATTGGTTATAAAAACACTGAGTAATTTCTGAGAATTTGGGATCATCGTGACGACAAACTGAAGAAGGCAAGAAATAGAAGTGGTGACGATTGGACTTAACTACTTTATTTGAAAGAGTGCCCTCCTTAGAATGTTGGTTATAATCCCTTAGGAAACCAGGAAGCTGGTCTGTAATCAGCAATGGTGTTAAGATTGGACACTTTCGGTAATAATCTTATCATTTGACATTAATGTATTATGTCCAAATATATGTTTGTTTTAAGCCTTTCTGATCATTTGACTGCCCTTCTGATCATAACAGCAATTACATTGGAGAGTACAATGTTATCAATACATCAACAAGCTTCAAAAATAATATCCATCTTATAATCAGATGGATGTCTCCTTATAAGAGCTTGTAGTCTCTAACTCTTGAATTTGTTTTCAACATGTACAAGCACCATCAAGGTGGAGAGGTGCTGACACACCACATGAGCCCCATCACTAAAAGTGAACATTGTGTTGTTATTTAAGGTATTTTGTTATAAAAAAATCAATAGGGAATTGAGCTCTAAAATCTAATTAAAACAAGGCAAATGTCCATAGAAACTTGAAGGGAATTAGGAAACTTTGATTGAGAACAACACTTATATAATTATCGTTGATAACAAATGGAGTGCAACAATGTACAGGTTTTTTTTATAACAATAGGGAAAATAATAGTGAACAATTATTTTGTGAGAAAGAAGTAAAACAGAAGAGTTACAAACTTGGGCAAAACGATAAAATGATATTTAAGGAGTATTGTGGTATTAATTTGTTGTACTGTTTGTTTGTTTGTTGCAGTTGGAGGGTCTGCTGTGGAGGATTTATATCCTGTAACAGACATTTTTCAATAAATGTTAATACATTTCTACCTGAAATACTCTGAGGTCCTGAAATCCCAAGTCATAGTCAAGGAGTTGGGGAAATATGTAACTTGGGCTGCAAGCTCCTTCTCTCCAGTGACTCCAAAAAGCACGCCACAGTAATCCCTCTGCGGACAGGGCTCTGAGCCCAGGACCTCTCACTACCTCCTCAACACTGATCAGTCCTCTCCTTGGTCTGAGGGGGGTTTCTCTGCCTCTGGAGCTACGCCCAATGGAGTACAGATCATGTGTATGGCTCAGTGTGTATGACTGCTTGAGTCAACCCAGCCATAGACCCAGAGAAGAGCCACATGGGTTTCCCAAAATGGAGGAAAATGGCACCTCTGAGAATGCTGGAGGCCTGGCCCTGATGGGAATGTGGGTGCCGGTCATCCAACTGCACTAAAAGAGGAAACAGTGGAGCTGTTAAACCAAGGGAGAATGACTCGGGGCTAGAATGGCTCCTTTTTCTCTCTCTTTCAACTGTGTCTGAATGTGAGGAATCAAATCTGTGTGCTCATCACCTCTATCTGCAATGCAGCAGGCTCCTGAGGATCACTTTCACAGCTCCTGTGCCAATGCGCTAAGACTGCACGCATAGTGAAAAGAAATACAGAGGAAGGGAGAACTGTATGGAAGAGGGAGAGTATGAAAAAGAAAGTGTGGAATAGAGAGCCTAGCTGTTTGAGCCAACGACAGCCACACCAGACACTTCCTGTTTCAAAGAGTGACTGATAGCTTGAACGCACACACACACCCACCCACCCACCCACCCACCCACCCACCCACCCACCCACACACACACACACACACACACACACACACACACACACACACACACACACACACACACACACACACACACACACACACACAACACACACACACACACACACACACACACACACACACACACACACACACACACACACACACACACACACACACACACACACACACACACACACACACACACACACACACACACACACACACACACACACACACACACACACACACACACACACACACACACACACACACACACACACACACACACACACCACACACACACACACACACACACACACACACACACACACACACACACACACACACACACACACACACCGTCCAGAGCCAGTCACTGCATCAGCCGGGAGCCGCCTGTCATCTAAGATATGAGGTGGCTGCTGCTGCTCTAAACGCCTCAACATTCTCCTCTCACCGCCCGAGAGATGACTCGAGACGATAAATGATGGAGGTGCTGGCACTAAAACAATCATATTTCCGGGCTTTACACAGAGTATATAAGCAGAGGTAGGATTATCAGGGAAAAAATGGTTGAAAAGGAAATCAATGACACTTGTCCGCCCCCCAAATTGAATAATGTAATCTCAGGTGAGCCGTTATCTCAATTTAGTGAGATATAGGACTATAGAGTGAGTTCATAGAATGTCAGAAGGTCTTTTATAACTCTTAAGTCTTTGTGTGAGTAGGGATTCCACAATCCCCAGGTCATTATAGAAGCTGGGGTATATAGATCCTCAGGGTCAGTTCAGTTAAATGATACAAATGACTTTCCCTATTGTTGTTGGGTTTAATTTGCCAAGGTTTAGAGATGTCAGTGTGCCTACACGCCAATACCATTGAGGGGAATTAGAAAAAACCATGTGAAACATATATGAGCTACCCTGGAGACATTTACACCCCCGACAACCAGACGACTGCATGCTCATACTTTCATTTGTGAAGGGGGTGTGTTCAAACTATAAAGCCTCTTTGCTTAACCAGACAGGGAAGGCTTAAAGGGCACATACCATTCTCATTGTCATGTTCATACTAATATCTAGCACATGTTTACAAGCTTCAATGTTAGAAAAAAAACCACATTTTTCTCAAACTGTTAACCTGACCGCAGCCGTATTCACCCTCTGTCTGAAAGGCCTCGTTTTAGCGCATGTCTCTTTAAGCCCCCTCCCGAAACAGCTGAGTCTGCTCTGATTGGTCATTGTTTCCAGGTCTTCCCCATCGATTTGATACTACACCTAAACAAGACTTGCAAAACTCCCTTTTGACAAGATCAACTTTAATAAAAGATAATATCAAGTTGCATTATGGGAAATAGGATATAGCATTTAGGAGCTATTGTATGGAATACAAGACGGATGCTGCAGTTCTATTTGTGGTTCACACTACTTTACTTGAATTTGTAGGGGTAGTTGTGAGAAATAATTGGTAATGAATTAGTCCTGACGTACAATTCTTCAGTAAAATTATTTTCTGGAACTAATTATATTCCAAACGGGCTGTAATGACTCATTTCTAAAAACCTTAATTCTGTCCTTCTGAAATGAGGACTACTCTGTCTTGTTTACACCTTCCTACATATCCATCTTAAGCTCTACCAACGCACAGCTCTGCCTTCATTAGGTAATAGAGCAGCTAAACCCCCCCTCTTCGTTTTCCTCCCCGGTCCCCTTCTACTCTCCCTCTCTCCCCACACTTCAAAGCGAGTCTCTCTCCGTCACTCTGGGGGATAGAAACGGTTAATGCCTGGGGCTTTGATGTTCCACTGCTGTGTGAGCCCAGCCAATCCTCAGCCTGTGCTCGCCTCCCATCCCTACATCGTCTAATAATTATTTGTGGAGGAGAGAGTGAGAGGGAGCGAGAGATTACGAAACTCTACTTTCACTCCTCTTCCGAATGTATCCGTCTCCCTCTCCTTCAGAATTCATGTTCCTGACAAATACAAATGCATTCAGAAACATTATCATGTTTTTTTTTCTCCCCCGCTGCCTCTCTCTCTTTATTTTTTGCATCATCTGCAGCTTATAGTACGTCTTTTAAGCCGTCTCCAGCTCACTCAGGCTCCTTTGAAGGTCTGGGTATTGAGGGGCGGGGATGAGATCGAGGGTGAATCTCTAAACCCCGGCAGAGTCGCTTCGCTGCCAGACAGCAGTGTCAAACAGCAGAACACGACCGGCATAAATAGAAGGTCATAGCTGCGGCGACGGGCCTTGTCAGGCATATTAGTGTTTAGTGAAATATTAGGTGCGTGTCTACAGTACGTGCAAACGCTTTTTCCTCCCTTTTGCCAGTGGGAGTGGGTGAAGTGCATAATAGAGCTCATCGTCTGTACCAGCCTCTCTCAAGATGAGAACAATAACACAATCAGGCCCATTAGGACTGCTTCGCTGTTATGAAACTGACATTTTTCATGATACATTTGCTGTTATTTTTCCGAAGGCTCAGAAACACACATCAATGAGACTTCTGTCAGCAACACAAATGCCTGTTTTGTATGTGATATCCTTCCAGCCGCAGTATGTTCTCCTGCTGAAGCTGTTTTTCCCACACTATTATTCTGCTCTGTGGTTTCGATCCACACCACAGGGTTGTAATAGTTGAACTAAATACCACCATGGATTTGCCTCTAGCCAAAATGTAAACACAAACGCTCAAATTTTGAGGAACAAGAGTTGTTTTTCCAGATAGTTAAGGAATGTATTTAAAATGACAAAAGAAAAGACTAAAAAAAACACAATTTATCTCCTCTTCTAACCAAGCCTCACATTTGAGAAAGTTGAGGCTGGTTTATCACAGATTAGCAGGAGTAATATGCTGTGGAGGTTTGAGATTTGTGTTCAATTTGTTCAGAGATGAACTGGTTATATGAAGGTTTACAGATGACATTTTTCCCTACTGAACCTCTGGCGGTCAATAATTAACCAAACTATGGGATATTTGTGTCTAAAATCTGAAAAACTGCTTATAGCCAATGACAGACAAGAAAAGGTGAAGGCATTTCAAGGTGTTGAGAATGCTTTTTGAACGTTGGAGGAAAGACTAGCTGAAAGTTGGCAAAACAAATGTCTCAAGATTTAGAATCATACATACTGTATGACTCTGAAAAATCCCACACGAGGGTGATCTATTCTTCAGTTTCATTGATACATCCATGGTCACACACATGGATGTATCAATGAAAGAATTCAAAGGGAAGGATCACAGTTCATCAAGGAAGGAAACAAGCAAGGAAAGAAAACATGACAGATGCCAAATAAAGGAGCCAAAAATAGAAAGAGCAGTTCAATCCCATTTTGCCAGAAAAAGTACTCCACTTTGGCAAAATTGGTATACTGCTCTTGTAAATAACCATATTTCCAGCTCCTTAGACAAACTGTCCTCCCTTAGTACTTCCTAAGGAGAGTAAGGGAAAGAGGAAGGGGACTCACCAGCCACAGAGTTAGGGCGGGGCATGAGGTACAGAGGGATGGAGTGGGCGGAGTGGGAGGACATGCTCTCCAGGTTGCGCTCAGGGATTTTGTTGAGGCTGTAGGTGGAGGCGGTCATGTTTTCATCCACCCGGTACAGGAACGAGTCCATGCCTGATTTCTGGGACTGCCACAGCTTCAGGTTTCCCCGGGAGCCCTCGCCGTATTTCCCGCCTCGCTCCATGTTCTCTGAGTAGCTGGTCAGTGTGGCTGCAACAGAACCAAACATCAATGTTAGTTATGTTGCATATACAGCTATGATGGGTTTATTGTGAGAAATGAGCCTCATACTTTCAGTCCATTTTCACAACCAGGGCGTCTGATTCCACACTTATTTATGGATGTTCTGAACGCAGGTGTTCATTATTGTTGCATGGAAACAGTGTTGGCACCTGTATTGACATCAGCGCTTCACATCAGTGAGCGATTATCTCTCCTGTTTTCTTGCTAACAATGCGGCAGTGGATGTCAACATGACATAAGCAACTGAATTGTCTTCCCGTAGGAAGAGAGACTGGTTCTGACTGTGCATGAGAAGTACCAAAGTCTGTCTGGAAACTCAGATGTTTACATTTTGAGCTAAAGGGGACATGAGAACGTTTTTGGGGTGATTCGAACAAAGCTGTGAAATGAGGCATGTTCCCACTGACGGTCACAAGATGTAACTCTCAGGTATCAGAGGCTTTGAATCTAACAGGATGAGCAGGTAAGGTCGAATATTTTTGTTTTTTCAATCTTGTATTTTATAGACAGTTATTTGGTTTCTAGCTTGGCATTATTTGCTTTTTAACACTTGTAATTCTCTTCTCACCATACTGGACGCAAATACATCTCTTATTAGTTAGTTAGTTCGTTACTTAGTACGTCTGTTGTTTTAAACCTTTAAAACTCATATACACATGTACAATAAATAATAATAACAATAATCAGCCTCTACTTTTGAAATAGTGACATTCCAAAGCAAAGTGTAGGCTAAAGCCTTAGCATACCCTTTATACATTTAGTATGTGGTATATACTGAAAATAAAGACTCAAAATAAAAAAATTGTTTATTTAATATACGCAAAAAATCCCACCTAAATTCATATACACTCATATAAATAAGTGTTCACACCAATGTTTTATATTTGCAAATCATCTTCATCTTAGTTGCAATGTTTTTGGTAGATATATTGTTTTGTTTTTTAAGTGAATTATAATAAAAGTGTATTATACATTTTGCTTTTCAAAACTATTCCCCATGTAGCTCCATTGACTGTTTTATATCTTGCATTTGGTCCTATTTTTGTAGAAATGCAAATACCTCTTAGTTCATACAGTCTTACTCAAATTTAAAATAGCTTCTGGATACAGTGGGGAGGCATCTTTCTTTCTACTTTATACATCAATTGTGCCGTTTTAAATGTCCCCAGATTTCTAAAAGAGACTGTGAGTTTAAAAATAATGTGTTGGTTTGTTAATGGAACAAAGGGGAAATATATTGAATAACTCTAGCCTTATCCTTACAGATTTGTTAAAACTGTTCTTTATAAATCTGTGTGTGTATCTCACCGATAATCCCGCTGTCCCTGCTCTCCAGGGTGGAGGTGGGACTGGTGACCGAGCCGTAGGCACAGTCTCTGTTGCCGGCCTGGCCAGGCATCGCAGGAGGGAGGGTGGAGCAGGGGCTGCCTGCGGGGGGGGAGGCGGTGCTGCTGGTCAGGGTGGAGCACGGGCTGATCCTCTGGTTCTGGCCCTGGAAAAGACAGAAACAACTTTGAAAAACGCTTTGTTGTGTTCAGATAATTCAATGAGTGCACACTAGTACAAAAGGCAAAGTAAAATGTTTGAACTTTTAATATCCGAGTCATATTCAGAGTAAAATGTCACTTCAATATCGCTGTTTTCAAAAGCTTAGAACCCCGCTGCCTCTATGTAGTTGGTCCTTCAAAGGCTTTCCTCTCCCACACACATACAATCATATAATACATTATATTTATAGCAATTTTCAAAAATAAGGGTTTGGAATAGCTTCAGCAAGAATTATGTAATGCTACACAGCTCAAACATACACATGTACAATATGTTGACTAGGGCTGTGCATCTTCACTGGTCTCACGATTCGATTCGATTACGATTATCCTGTCAACGATTCGATTCAATTCGATATCCCGATGCATCACGATTCATACCAATGCGTTGCATCCTCAATTTTCTATATTACTGCACATGGCTTATTTTTCATCAATGCATACATGCAGTAAATACATATAAACTCTCTTTTTATTATTTAGAAAGTGCTTCAGAAATCAATAACATAAATGTCTTGACATTCATTTATAAACCAAAATAAATGAATTGTAGGTCTAGCCTCCCTATATCCGTGTGTGAAGTTGTTCCATCCTCAAAAACAAAAAAATAATGCTTCTGCAGTCTAGCTGCAGCTTCTAGCAACGGTCTTCTGTTAAAAAAAGACACTGAATGTCCTGAATGTGGCATCACCATAGACTGTGTATATAAGGGCATCACACACAGGACTTGAGTCTGAACACAGCAGACAGGAGTATTTACAATAGCATACAAACAAAAATACTGCATGTGGGTGCACACTTACATTCTCTGTCTTACTGTTACATAAATCCCATGAATGTATGAGATTAAATTAGCTTCATTATATCTCAGTGATTAAGTGAATACTAAAGTTTCTATCGGGTCACTATCAGCCTGTCACTCATTATATTCAGGGGGGGGCGGGGCTTAGAGGAACAGAGAGGAGACGGTGATCGCGGAAGCTTTTTTCCTCCTGCCTTCACAAACTTTACACACGTATATATCGTCTGAAAATTGCTAGAGGACATTCATACTCTGTAATCCAAGACTTAATTAAATCCACCAAAAACCTGACATGATTGTAACGCGATTATTTTTGAAAAACATAAATCCCGACCCTGTGTCTCTGTGCCGCAGCGACACGGAGTGATTCAGAGCGGGTCCTTCTGCTGTTGGTTCTGGACTGGTGTTCTTGTGTTGGTGGATAAAGCAGACTGCTCCGTGTTTGGTGTTGCTGTGCCGCTGTCACGTCTGTTCCCTGATCTCTGCGTCACCGACCGATTTGATATTAAAGTGACAGAAAAAAAAAACGTTATAGTAAAGCCGCGGCCGGAAAATCAGGAAGCAACGTTACTACGCTATAATCGATTATCTTCCGTCACTGCATCGATACCGAATCGTCCACGTCCGCATCGCAGAAACGATTATTTTCAACACCCCTAATGTTGACACACAAAAACATTCAATAACTAGTGATATTCCCAATAATGTTAATAAATAGCACCTATATAACCTATACATCGCTTTACAAAAAGGTACCTTACAGCACAATGTACTGCAGCTGAGGAGTATGGCAGGAAATAACCAAGCGTTGGAGAGTTAGCGTAAACACCGGGGATTTGAGCGGCAACATCTAAATGCAGGAAAACAGTCATTTTCCCTTTTTAGAAACTAAAGGGAGTGGCATTTCCCAAATCAGATTCTGCAGAGTCCCATGGTACATGTGGGGTTGTGTACTGTTGTTCTTCCTAGACATGCCCTGATTCCACTGAAAATTCAAATCACACAATAAATATATGATTCTTTATAGCCTTGTTTTGGCACCCTTCAGTGACCTTCTTCTGCGTCAGCTCAGGTTAGAAGAGATGAGACAACAGGGGACATAAAACACTCTGCTGCGTCTAATCTGCTGCTGCGAACACCCACTGACGCTCTCACAGAAACACACACACCTAAACACAGGCATGCAGCATCAACGGAAATGCAGAGGCGCAAGAAAAACAGGGATGCCAAGTGTTTAAGTAAGTGTATCAGACACTGAAACAAATGGAGGTCTCTCCTTAACGGTGCTGCCGATGAGTTCGGGTCAACACTGGAGAGATCGTGAGAGGTGAAGTGGCCCTCAAGGCTAAATCTAGTCTAGTTTAATCTGCAGGAAGAAGACTGAAGGGACACACTAAGCTAATACACACACCCACACACGGATACAGTCTGGAGTGGGGCTGCAACTGCCGATTACTTTCATTATTGATTAAACTGACAATTATCTGCTGAAAGGCTCCTAAGGCTTTGGCTCAGAAGATGGATCGGGGTCAATTAATCGCAGGGTTTGATCCTCGAGAATCCCTACCCACATTTTAAAAGTGTCTAAGATCCATGACAAAGTGTCCACAGCCATGCTACTGAGTTAAAGGTGGGGTAGGTAAGTTTGAGAAACCGGCTCGAGATACACTTTTTGTTATATTCCATGGAATGCTCTTAACATCCCGATAGCAATGAATATCTGAAGTGCTTTGACAACAAATCCATGAAAAATGTCATCTGTGGAAGCCGTAGCGCTGTAAAAAGCACGACCAATCATTTTAGCCGGCCCGGCTAAAATAACTGGATGGCCTACCTGCCTGTCAGCCTTCCATCTGTGCACAAACTTATCTCGTGCCCTCATTGGTCATGTGCGCGTACGTGTGTGTTGGAGGAGGGGCTCTGGAAGGAAGTGGCAGATTTTTCCCGGCTGTGTATTTTCAAATTGTAGCGCACTCGAGCTGGTTTCTCCAAAATTACCTACCCCACCTTTAAGTGCTTACTTCAGATGGAGGAAGGACGGATGATGGGAATGTCATTATATTTCAAGGATTTGGTCACAAATCAAGATATTGAACACATTTAAAATGTTGACTTGATGATGGCGCTAAACAGAACATCAGAGGATCACCAATGTTTTTGAAGTTCATCATGAAGGGAACATGGAACATGGACCCAAATTTCATGAAAATGTATCCAACTGTTGTTGAGACATTTGAATTATAAACGTAAATGTCGATGACACTGGAAAAGCCAGAGGATCATCAAATTCTTCTTCTGGGGACCATGAATGTCTTTATATATATCATGGCAATCCATCTAATCCAACTCCAAAAGCAGTTTGAATGACACTGTCAAAAAGGTAATTTAGCTACAAAGAGGACATCTTGGTCTGAAACCAGAGCCCATTCTGCTCTGATTGGTTAGCTAGTCGGCTCTGTTGTTCATTCGCTTAGAGATTTGTCTGAAATGCCCCAAATATAACGTACAATCTGTCAGAGCATTAGCCAATATAAATGAGTGTCATCATGTTACAAAGGAATCCCATAGAGGCGTTTCAGGCATTAGGGGGGGGGAGTGTGTGGGAGGTGATTTCCTCTGGATGGAACTTTGAGATTATAGCCTTTGCAGACCATTTACTTGCACACATAACACACTAGAGGAAAGGGAAAACCCCCAAAAGCACAATAGGGCCACTTTAAATAGGCCCATTCAACTGGACTGAATTACTTTTGAAGTGGTTATATTGTTTTTCCCACATCATTTTGAAACTTATAAGTGGAAAATATTTCAAATATTTTTTGATATAATTTACTCTAGTAACGGCAGAACTAACCATTAGGTGGTAGACATAATCGACCTTCAAATACAACATCATCCCCTTTCTGAAAGAACTAACCCTGGCCATTTCAGGCTCTATTAAAGTAGGTGCTTAGTGTGTGTTTTGTGGCATTGCCCTCTGCTTTCGCCATGGATGGGACCACTAAAGTGTTATGTTTACAGAAGCTTGACCCTCAGAGCAAGCAAACAGTAAACAAAAAAACACACAGCAAGACCACAGCGCTATCTGCTGGGCTAATGAACCTGGCCAAGTGCAGGCCTAACCTCAGGCGTCGCACCTGGATTGGATTGAACTTGGGGGCAACGCGTCTATTCAGGGAGCTTGAGCACGAGAGTATGAAAGGCAATTAACAGCACTCTCTGCGAGTTAAGGTCACCTTGTTCTGTCTGCTGGCGAGGTCTGGCAGCACTGACACCAGCTAATGGAGGAACCTAACCATGTCAAATGGAAGATGGTAGATTGGTGTTTTACAGAAAAATAGAACCCTCACCTTAGCTCAACATTTTCTAAATAGGAAGATATCGGCCTGCTTCCTTTACAGTAAATAAAAGGTAGTAACTCGGTTGTGTCGACTGTAATGAATGTTATTGAAAGCTAGTAAAACCCAAGCAAATTAGCACAATCACAACTAAAGCCTGCTCTATAATCTGCTACAAAAAATGACAGGCATTTTCTGTAATTTTTTAGAGATAATGAATCACACAAACTACATCCGGAGAACAGCATTTGGGGCAGATATCTTAAACAATAGGTCTGTTCTGTGTTCACGATGCAGCGGGGCACTGGTGTGAGTCACGTCTCTAAAAAGAGCCGCTTGAATAAACCTCTCTCAATTTATACACCCCCACTGCTACAGCAGCGCTCACATCAAGCACAGGCAGTCCATCAGTCTAATCGCTTATCCACACTGCTTTAGTGCAAGCCCATACCCAGACTCTCTTTGAAGGAACAGGTTGGCCCCTTTTCCCCCTACCTATATCTGCCTCTCTTTCTCTCTGCCGCTGCTGATTTTTCCCTTAGTTTGGAAAATTCATACCTGTCAAACCAGGTTCAGAAAGAGAAACCAGGGCATCTGCTGCAGAGCGTAGAGCGGCCTGTTGTGCCAGGAGCTGTTTGTTGCTCAACTGCCAAATTCCCAAATTGAAAGGTTAAAATGCAGGAGAGAAACCCAGAACATGCAGCTCAACTCAACCTTAAGAAACTTTCTTCCAATAAGACAAGTTCTAAGTACGCTGGGAAATAAATAATTGGTTATATACAAATCTAAGTAGAGATATCCAATGTTAGATGGAGAGGCACTGATAAATTCCGAAGCTGTGGTGTATGAGGGCAATTTACAGAACTCTTTTGATTCAGCTACCCTGCCATCCAAAAATCTGTCAAAACCGAGTGTAAACACTGATATTATGAAGATAAATGTCGAAAGCAGACGACTGCGTGTTTGTTCAAGTTCCAAAGCACGATCTCCCACGATAGAAATGTGTCATAATCACATACAGAGTAAGATAATCAGATTAGGATAAACCGTAACAAATGCAGAAAAGGCAATAAAAACAAAACTGGAGTATATTTTTTGACAACAATTGTTTGAATTACACAACCCCAGACAAAGTTTCCCTTATATTGACTCAAAGACTGAATCAGGTGACATCATGAGATTTAAATGCAGTGCTGGGAAAAACAGTTTATTTCATTGGGTGTTTAGTGTTTTGTCTATAGGCTCTTTAAGAAAAGATAACAGAGTTCTTCTTCTCCAATGAATGCAGAGATAAAAGATATAAAAGCAGATTTCTCTTGCAAAAAAAAGGTCCAGTTCATTAGTGAGACCATTACCTGTCTTGCCTCGAGTTCCTCCATGCTGTACTGGGTACCGGCTGGCCCCTCGCTCACTTTGTCTCCCAGAAGGAAACCCAGGCGCGTCATCAATGTGTTGGCTGCCTCATCCACCGACGGAGGGGGGCCCAGCTCCCGGCTTGACTCCCCTGCAGAGGCAGAGAGACGGGCAGGAGGACGGAGGTGGAGGAAAACATTGCAGGGGAGAGAAAGAAAGAACAAATGTGTGTCAGTGGTGGGTAGGAACAGAACAGCAGCTTGATTTCACAAAAATGCGATGGAATAGCTGGCGATGGAATAGCACACGGAGTATCTGCTATCCACCCGCTATGTATTAACCACAGCAGCGACACACACCCGGATACAGAGAACAACAGCACCTGTGCTCAGGAACACATGGAACAGCCTACCTGAGTTTTCCACTTGCTCAGAGCTGTGCATTACAGGCACATTTCCCCACAGCTGGACATCTTTGTTGAGGTGTCCTCTCACGTAAACTGCAAACAATCCCTTCAGCCGCAACAAAAACCCCTTTCAAGCTGTTTACAAAAAACCTATTTCCACACTGAGCAGCGAGAGCTCTGCACACTGACGGCAGCTCCTTCCGCACCACTCATCACCACTGCAGCTCGTGTGACGCAATGAGATACGCCCTTCACCTGCGCGTGTGTGTGAGACAGAGAGAGAGAGACAGAGAGAGTGGCTGTGTGTGACTCCTCAAGACAAAGTGGGGTTGAATACACCTCTATACTGTTTACAGAGAGAGAAAAAAACAAGCCTACGTGATGATCAGATGATCAAACACACACAGGGATTTCGGTTGCCAACTTTGCAACAGGATCCAAGGAAAAAAAGAAATCCCTTAATGACCTCATCTTGTCGCCCTGTTGCCTGGTTACTCTCCGCCCATAACAAGCCCTCATTGCTGGTGTCATATTTATTTTTTATAATACCTGGCTATCATGCCCTAAAGGTGCCTGCAATATCAATTTCAACCCACTTTTACTTTATTTACTCAAGTGTCACAAATTACCCACACTGCTGCTAGCTGTTAAAAGGACTAGTGGCTGGAAACAAGCAGCTGTAATTGGACGTATAAGCCTGAGAATTGGACTGGACGTTAATGACATTGAGGCCAACAGCACAAGATGGCACGATGTGTAAATAAACAGCAGTGAGACAAAGCGGTAGGGCCAGTTCTCTCCCTCTTCTCCCCACTTGATTTCCTGCCGGGCAGGTCAGACCAGATTGGCAGGTAGCTACACCGAGTCCTGACTGACGACCATTAGAAAGTGTCCCCACACCCCCTTCTCTGAAGACAGACAGCTTGTCTGCAGCCTGTGGCCTCTCACTCGTCTGTTCAAGGACTAACAGACGGACAGGCAATCTTAGCCGGGGCTGCCCCTCTCCATTCCTTCATGGACAGACAGCAAGTCAGGATCATTAGACTGACTCCAAGTCCTTCAGAGTAAGTAATGGAAGACTGCACTGTCTAACTAAAACCTTGGATATGTTGCTGAGCCCTAATAAAAGCCACAGCAGTGGTAATAATGAGGTAATCACAGCACACATTAGGTCCAAAACAGCTAATTACTCATGAGCCTTGATGAGATGTAAAGCAGCTTGATGCACTTTATATGGAGCAGCGTTTACTGTACCAGGGCCTCCAAGGTCACTGAATCCCCCAGCATCGCTGGAGGAAGAGAGCTGAATGCAGTAATAAAGAAGGTGTATGTAGACAGAAGGACTGCCCCACCTTCTTATAGATAATAGGAGGAAATTGAAGGTGAAGAAACATCTAGCACTGGCTGGTAAGGCGGGAACTAACAATTATTTTCATTAGGGATTCATTTGCAGGTGATTTTCTAAATCAATCTCTAGGTCAATATCATGTCAGAAAATAATGAAACATTTAGAAAAATGTCCATCACAGTCTATAATTCAAAATTATGCTTTTAAATGTCTTGTTTTATCAGTTTAATATTATATGAAAACAGATAAAAACTGGTAATCTTCCTTTATTAGAGGCTGAACACCGGATTTTCTGCCATTTTTTGAATACAAAAATTGTCTTTAACAATAATATATCAAAATAGTTGGAGATAATTTGTCTGTTTTGATCAATTAGTGGAATTGTCACTGTAGTGGCTGTATGTGTCTGGACATTGAGGCAGTGTGGTCGACTGACTGGTAGTACAAGCAGTGAATACATTAGCACTGATTAGTCAACTCGTCCGGGGGGGGTTAGCGTGTGACCGTGATCAAACAGGGGCTCGTCTGTCTCAGTGAAAGTGTTTCTCTGTGTCCTTTTCACTCATCTTCTTTGTTTACCTGTCTCACTTCCTCTGCCTGTACTGTATGTTTTAGGTTTCTGTTCCTCTTTTTTTAGCTTCTTACAAAGGTATTTCTCTGTCGCAGCCAGCTGTTGGACAACCCTGTGCAGGGGCGAGCAGTCTGTGCCGCTTTTGATGTGAAGAACAAAATCTCTAATCTGGACGCTGGAGCCGACAGTTACTCCCTTGAGCTAAACACAACAAGACTGTTGTTTCCTTCAAAAAAACATTGAATGCGGTTACACACACAGCTAAGACTCAGTGGTTGGGTCAACCATTTTCACGGAGCTGTCAGCTTAGATCAAAATATGAATGTTTGATCGGCCACAGAACAAAAACAATAACAATAGGTTCCTCGCACTTCGTGCTAGGGCGCCGTTGGGTCCTAGCGCTCCGTGCTCGGGCCCTAATGATGTTATGGCCCTTTTTCTAAATGTAACCCATGCTTATGAGCTAGAGTTAAAAGGAATATACATCATGATAACGTAAGGGTTGGATTTCCTATCTTTGTATAGCTCCCCTGTTAAAACTCAGATTATAACATTCAATCACACACCGTCCCTCTGACTGAAACCACTGAAGAGAAACATCTAGATGGCTGCAAAGCTGCGTGACAGTATAGTGAGTGAATATAACACTCTCCTAAAGAGGAACTCATCACACACACACACACACACACACACACACACACACACACACACACACACACACACACACACACACACACACACACACACACACACACACACACACACACACACACACACACACACACAACACACACACACACACACACACACACACACACACACACACACACACACACACACACACACACACACACACACACACACACACACACACACACACACACACACACACACACACACACACACACACACACACACACACCTCTCCATTGGATTCCTGAGCTGTGAAAGAGACAGATGGTTGCCATAGCAACTATCTTTGAGCACAGCTAGGAATGTGTTTCTGTGCAAGCGCATCTGTTTCTCCCTGGCCGTCCACAGATCTGCCCTCTAGCACCGAGAGAAGGGAGAGGGAAGCATGTGTGCTGCAGGCAGGGGACTGGACAGGAGATTGTATTAATAGGCCGGGGGCTGCAGGTAAGATAGCACATACCATGTGGCGGCTCTTATTTCACCTGTACCTGGCCACTTTAACTGCCACTTCCGCAGGGGAAAGTCCACAGAGAGAAAATAGGGGCTCAGAGAAGAGGTGATATGTATGGATTTAAGAGTGTGAATGAATTCCAACGGAAGCTGTTGACAGCTAACGGAAATGGAAAGAGGGTAGATTCACACCTATTTCAGAAATACATGAATAACATAGAACATACGCCTCACTAGTATAAAGCAGCGACTGGAAAGCTAATCAAGAGAGGAGTGAATTTCACATTCCTCGTGTGCACAGCAAGATGCTATCGATCCAACAATATTTGGAGGTTTTAGACTTGAAAGCAGATCAGGAATTAGGGTTACGAGTGCGTGATCCGATGATAAATGACCACAGCTTGTTCCTGTGTGGTTGTTGTTACCATAGAAACTATACCTTTAACATTTCCGGTTCATTTGGCCAATGCGGCAATGTTTCGCACTGCTTTATGTATTCAATATGTATTGTTTTTTTTTGCATCAGGTATTTATTTTTCAAGAAACTGTGAATACACGTTGATAACTTGTTATTCCAACCGTAATCAGTCTGACGAAAAATACTCTTTGTACTTTCCTTTGTAATAATGGATTTCTTTAGACCATTTAAATATGATTCGGCTTAGTCTTGTTTCTAGCTTTTTATTTTAAGTTTTTAGTTCTCTTTGTCACTCGTTCCCCTGCTGGAGCTCAGCCTGCCCATTGTGGTCAACATCAATATTTTTTAAAACCTCTTCTTTACTTTTATAATACAAAAATGGTAACAACACATTTCAGATAAACACTAAAATGACAACCAAAATACACACACCATTATCCGTCACCACCACAAGAAGCTTGAGCTAACTTGTGTGATATACAGAGGACGGCTGAGGGTGACATTTACAAGCTATCTCACAAAATATTCACAAACCATATTTATGGGACCACAAATTCCTTTTGTAGACCATAAAAATCAGCTGATAGAGGACACTAGCCAGTGTCAGCAGCAAAGTGCTGACTGGCATGCGATCAGATGTTTAAGTCACTGCCCTGCTGCCCCTCATGCCAGAGTGCCCTTGTTAAGAGCTAAGATGTCCATCTGTCCATCCAGGAGGCGTGAGTCCTCCCCACCCCCCAAGAAAACTCATCTTATTTCCTCTTGGTTCCTCTCCAGCTCAAGTTGTTATTGCACAGACACAGAGTTCCTGGTTATAATCAACTCTTTTCCTGCCTCAATGATGCCAGAAATTCCCATTTCAACCCTGAAATGTCACATCTGCAGGAGATGTTAGCAGCTCATCACAACTGATGGGTTATTACACACTCTATTTCACAGGAATGATGCAAAACAAAGCTATGGGGACAACACTTCTGCATCCATTATATCCAAGAGGAATGCTATACAAATGTAGCATGTTTCTATAACAGATCACTTACTTCCCATAGAGCAGAAACTCAGCAGAAGAGTTGGGCAGAGGGAAAGGCTGCTGCCCTCTGTTGACCATTTTCCTCCCTAAGTAACAAAAGTTAAGCACTAAGACCTCCCATCGCTATTTCTCTCATGTCTTCACCCAACCCTGGGGTGTTTTGCGACGGCATCGTCCTACTCTGGCGACAAGTCCTTCCAGCCAGCAGAGGTCGAGCCAACAACACAGGTCAGGAAGCTAACGCTGCACTTCTCAGTGGCAACAGGAAGAGGAGAGGCAAGATCAGAAAGCAGATATACCAGAACCAAATCTCAACAGAGCAATATCCCAGAGTAACCCTGCTTTTGACTGTGTGAGCAGGGGAGAGACAAGAAGGGGGAGAGGGGGATGTGACAAGGATAGATAGGGGGGGGGGGGAGAAGGGAAATCTGGACCGTCTGCAGGAGTACGGAGCAACCACTGACTGAGAAGTTAACAGAAAAACAGCACCGGCACCTAAACAAGCTCTACGTCCGAGAAGCAGGGCAGAGTGAGGAAGCAGCGAGGGAGGAAGCAGCGAGGGAGGAAGCAGCGAGGGAGGAAGCAGCGAGGGAGGATTAGCGCGACAGAGAGGACACTGTGGGTGTAGCAAAGTTATTTATTAATGACCTTAGCAATGTTTTTGCAGCAGCAGGCAGAATAACGGTCATAATTCACCCCCATCTCTCTCTGTGTGTGTCACTCTCTCTGCAGTGGAGTAAGAAGTATTTTACCTTAGTAAAAGTAGAAATACTAAGGTAAAACTAGGGTACATTTTACTCAAGTAAAAGCACAAAAGTATAGGCATCAAAATATACTTACAATAAGTACCAACAGTACTGGAGCTAATTAAATTACTTTATACACTGCTGCTCAATATCTTAACCTATAATTATACAGCATAGTTTATTTATATTTAGTTTTAGCCAATATGCTGGATCTGTAAACTAACAAGTCACTCATTTTGTCAAATACATTTATTGAGGAAAAAGTACAATATTGGCTTGTAGTGGAGCAGAAGTAGAAAGTATCATTAAATAAAAATACTCAAGTAAAGCACAAGTACCCCAAAATTGTACTTAAGTACCGTTTTTGAGTAAAAGTCCTTCACTACATTACATCACTACCTACAGGAACCTAAAATGCCGAAATGAACAGGACGAAATGAGGGATGAGCTGGCCAAAAACTTACCAGGGCAGAATGTGTCCAGGTCTGGGTTCTTGGCAGTGGTGGAGGTGTGTGTAGGGGAGCCAAGCTCTGATTGTGGAATGCGAGGGCTCTCCACAAACTTTGCTTTCCGCAGAGGGGCTGGGAGCAGAAAGCGTACACACATATAGAGACAGGAGAGGACAACATGTACACACACACACGCACAAACACATACACAGATCAGGGAGATGGAAGAAAGAGAGGAGTGACAGGGACAGGACAGAAAAGGGAGGAAGACAGAGAGCTTATGAGCTTGAAGAACCACACTGATCAAATGAAAACATCCTGAAGGCTTTTTTAGGCAGCTTTTATTTGCCTTGGGTCAAATAAAGCTCAAGTATGACTAAACAAGCTGCATGGGCAATCAGGAAGTGGGATAGAGCAAACCAATACTAATAGAGCCTCAACCAACCACCAAAATGTAATAATATCACCATACTTCCTCTGTATATGATACTTCCTCTGTGTCGGCCTGCATTTCAATCACAGAGCACAAAACAAGATGGACATTTTGCTGAAAATATGGGAGTGAAAAAAAGTACTGTTGTGTCTATTTGTCCAGCGTCATAATCACAGCAAGTATGCAAATGAGATCCATTTTTGGAATGTTCTCGCGCCTGACTCAAGCACAAAGTCTGAGACATCAAACAAATCCCTTCGACATGAGATTCAGAGGGGGGAGCGTGCAGAAAGCCGGGGGTGGTGGTTGTGCAATGATATTTTTCTGGGTTCTTGGTCACGCCACAGGGATTGTAAGCACTGTTACCCAGACTGGTATCAATGGTGCATACATTGTGGCTGCAGGCAAAATATTTCACAGCACAGGGGTGTTTATACCAAAGAACACTTGTTTTACCCACAGGGAGAGATGCCAAGCAAAACTAAACCATCCATTCAATGGCAGTTCTTTACTCATAGAAGAGCTTTGCAAGGATGCATAGCAGACATGGGGGACACAACATATATCATCTATTAGAAGTGTGACCGCCGAAGCAATACCCACACTCAAGTTTTGGGACAAGAGCTGCAAATATCAATCAATCCGTTGTGAACTATTACATTAATCGCCATTTATTTTTGATAATTTACTCAGTTTGAGTTGTTTTTCGAGTAAAAATAGCAACATTCTCTAATTCCAGCTTCTTAGATGCTTCCATTTTGTGGTTTGTGTACGTCTCTATAGCAGCAGTGAATATCTTTGTTTGTTTCTTTGTTGTGGACATTAAAAGGCATTTGAGGACGACTTTGTGGGCTTTGTAAAACATTATATTACAGTTTTCTGACAGGACAATTAATGATTATCAAAAAAACAACAGACAGATCTATCGACAATGCAAATTATTATAAATTGCAGCCATAATAAGAACACATCTTTCTAGGCATATTATCTCTGACCTTAATACAAGTTCTCCTTTTCTTGAAATTGCAACTTTGATGGAGCTGGATACAGGTCAAACTGTGCAAAGAAATGAAGCTTATATCAACTCCATTTTGTTCATGGCTCATTGTGTGTGCAGGAATTAAGAATAATGTGTTTATAATTGGCTAATCTGGTTAAATGAGGATTTAAAATAGATGATGTAGTGTATGCTGCGACTGTTAACCATTGTTATTATGGGTGAGTGCACATGTCCAAAGCTATCCGGCGCAGCAGCACCGCGCTGAACCAGAGTGGTGTGAGCAGGAAGTCACAAGCAGCAGCTGAAGAACATTTTTTCAAGCAACAATGAACAGGCTTCTTAACGCTTGCGCTTGGGATTCATGTTACAGCTAATGCCAGTATAATGCATGTGTGTTTCTGTGTATAATGGGTTGACAGTAGAGTTGTCCATCTGTATATATTGTATGTCTTAAGTGGTGTAAAGAGTATACTACAGGAGCAGCAATGCAACATACAGTATAACGTACAGTATGTTCAGTATAACAGAAAACATGTAAGAGCTTTTGCAACAGGCAGCACAATCTTCTTATCTTGCCATTTGAGAAGCATATTTATACTTACTTTGAATTCAGTTTAAGAAAATTGGCATCAAATCCTCAGAAACTCACTCTGATTTATTCGTAGTGAGTCCGATTTCTTTTCTCCAAATGCTGGTAATCTAATGGGGTTTAAAGGGTTTTATGATATGTATCAGTGGTAGGATTTGCCATGCCATAAGGGAGCTTATAATCCTTTATTTATCTGTACAAAAGCGAGTCTACAGCCATGCTGGCAGCTCTAGTCATAGGCACAGCAACGCTCTGAGATACATGCTAAAGCCAGCATGCTCGCAGTGAGAAGGGCTAACTGGCTAAAAGGATATGTTTGCCATCTTTGTTGCTAACATGCTTTATTTGCTAACTAGCTCCAGACAAATGGTAGCTGAGGTTGATGGGATTGTCATAGATGCAGGTATTTGGGCAAACGTATTGACCTTAAAATGTCATTAGTAATTGTGGTTTAGAATTTGTGTAGCTATGGCAATCCTTTCAGTAGCTGTTGAGCCATCTCACAACAAACTGTGAGCATATTACACGAGTTTTTCTAAATCCTTTATCCGGATCTGCATCAAAAACTATGCACTTGTTTTCCGTTTCCCATGGTCCAACTTTCCACCAATCCACTGCAATCTGTTGTCCAGATTTGAGATATTCTGCTCACTCACAAACACGCAGTCAGATAAACAAAAACAAAATCTCCTTGGCAGAGGAAATAAAGAACTCCTTCAGAGCTATGAGTATGTGTCTAAAGTAGATGCCTGCCACACACAGTGTTAATATTGTGTTGGTGTGGTCTGGAGAGGACCCTGCTAATTGACTACATCTAGGAAGGGAGCCAGCACAGATGCCACAGTGAGAAACTCAGACTGACAGCCAGCAGGAAGAAGGAGCAGCGAGCACTATCCACGGCTGGATCAACTGCCATGAGAGGAACTCAACGTCTTATGCCAGACAAACAACTCAAAATCACTTTTACTAGTTTTATATTTTGGCAAATATTCAATGGGTTAAAGACCGAAGTATTATGCTTATTAATCTAGACTACAATGAACCTAAAAAGGTGTGCTTATGTCTTGTTTTGCTGGTATTGAGATGTTTCAAATGATGGAAAATAGCTATACAAGTGAGTCAATAAACATCTAATAATTAAAAAACATACAAAGAGTAAAACAATGTGCAAGTGAAGACAAATGATCATTATTCCGTAGTTTTACTTTACTTTTGGATGTAATAATAAAAGAAAAAAGGCCAATACATGGTGCTGTACACAACAAAAAACTGTATTTCACATATTTAAGCTATAAACTGGTTTTCCATACATATTTGTTTTATAATTCTGGTATTTTGATGTTCATAGTAAGGGTCCTAGTACTTGTCTGCACAAGTGAATTGAAAAAAAAGAAAAGCAGGCATATTCCAGTTAATGGATGTTATTAACAACCATTGAAAAAAAAGATCTGTTTCCTAACCTTTCTTTCTGCTGACTCACAAATGAATTACAGGGCAAACACTATCATCAACCACACATGCCCCTTTCACACCAACGCGTTTTCAGCTCCGGCTCGGAGCTGGAGCCTGAAAAGTACCGGTTTTTCCTGTTCACACCGCAGAGGCCCCGCCTCTTAGCTCCGGAATCCGGTTCACTTCCAGCTCCAAAAAATTGTCGGTAGCTTCGGAGCTAAGAGGCGGCGTCGCTTACGTCTCTCTTACGTCGAGGCGGGTTGAAGTAGATGCTGAAGACCACAAAGAAGTCTTGCATTTCGCATGTGATGTTTGTAAAGTTCCAAGTAAAGTCGTCCCTTGTAAAGTCGTCAGATGCCTTCCATTTCGTTTCGTAAGAGGATAACCAAAGCGAACAGCGCTTCAATACAATCGGCCATTGTTGTTGTTGTCGATGTGAGGGATTTCCGCGCGGTGTGGATTTTATGAAGCAGGCACGTAAACGGTGACGTCATGACGCAGCAGCGGCAGCTCTGGGCGGTGTGAACAGAGCGGGAGCAGAAAAGGGAAACCGGAGCTGAACCAGAAAACCTCCCGCTCGGAGCTAGAAAGGGAAAAGCGCTGGTGTGAAAGCCGTATCAGAGATATTATCAAAATCTACACATATTCAACAATGTCTCTCTTAACTGTCAGGTTTTTTTCTTGAGTCCTGAAACATTCACATGGTGAGGCCCAAAGTAACATTTGTCAATTTCAATTTCAAACCACAGTCCTGCCTTATTTGGATAAGCTGCTCTTGCACCTGCAGTAACAAACTTGCAACAGCTTGCAGTGGCTTGTAACAAGCTACGGAGAGCCAGTCACAGGCTGAGCTTCCACGTGACCGTGTTCCGGAAAGAGCACCCACGGCAATTACATCAGATATGTAAACAGCTTTTTTTACAATCTTAACTTTATTACAGTACACCTGTGCATCTCCAGTTGACTGTGCAAAGAGACTTAAAGCAATTTTCCTCGACAGAATATCAGTCTCTGGATAAACTACAGCGAATGGTAGATTACCATTTCTCTTGGTTTTTGTCTCCTTGATCTCACCTCTGTGAAATGGCGAAGTGAGGAGTAAATCCCTTTCTATCTGCGGCTCCAGGAGACTACATCCCAGGGACTTCTCTCGTGCAGTCCTGTTGTCGGTGTGTGCCAGGCTGAGGATGGGTGACGGCGTGATGGATGGCAGCAGGCAAATCCACTCCTCTAATGAGCTTATGAATACATATCTCTAGTCTGTGTGTGCACGTGGCTGTGAAATAGATATTTGTTACATGCTCTGGATGCGAGGGTGTGAAAATGAATATGCATGCGTTAGTATGCATGTGTGTACATGTGAGATTAGAGTGAGAACAGGGAGGGGGGGATGCGGAGAGATTGGTGACAATGGACAGTTTACTTTTTTTTTTTTAAAGAAGCTGATCTCTATTCCCTAGATTGTGCGTACACACAGCCTTTGGTGAAATCATCAACAATAAATAAAGTCAATATTGTGATTCTAATTCAGAGTGCAAATGAAAGGGGAAAGCTTATTTTCAACACCATGGTCCCCACTGACACAACCTGGGTTTTCAACATATACGACAAGATCTGAATATGAATTGGAGACTCGAATATGCAATGCACAATCTCTC